TCTGAGGTTCAGGTTTTCTCTGTGGGTCTTTGGGATGTGACCATAGCAAGAACAGATCTGTCTCCTGTGAATGGCTGCTAACCATTCCTTGGCTTGCTCTACACAAAGCAAGGTTTTCTCTGGAGTCCCAAGCCAAATGTTTCCTTTTTTTCCTGCTGTTCTGCACTCTGTTATGTATTTGGCTGTGCTCTCTGTCCCAGAGGTGTCTATGTTCTGGTGGTATTAGGTATGAAGAGATTGTCAGGTTCCCTGGGATCTTCCTTGCTGAAAGGAACGATGGAAATGATCTTTTTTTCTCTGAAGCTGTGTGTCAGAAGACTGGTGCCATGTGCCAACTTGTGGCTAGAAGGCAGTAATTTGAGGCCAGCAAATACTCATCTATGTAATGCTTGTATATATGATACAGAAATAGTATTATTCATATACAGTGTGTGCATTTGTGTGTAGCTACTGAACTAATCGGGTGCAGACAGCTCCAGCAGCATCCGAGCACATCTCCAGGCTCCCCTGGGTTCAGTGTTCTGCCTCTGAAGGGGTCAATGCCAAATGTTCCCTTTGAATTAAAAACTCTTGGTACATGCTCAAAACCCAGTCAATGCTCCCTAAGAGAGTCCCTAGGCTATTAAAAAGTACTGTCTGCCCACCTACATGTGTGATCTCAGAGCACTGAGCACTTCCAGTCCCTTCTGCAATGACACAATTCCTGTTTACACTCTCGCTGAAGACCCCTGGATTACTCAATAAGAAGGTTTGACCACAGAGATGAATTATATACATCATTTAGGGGAAAAGAAAAATCAGTCTGCTTAGAAAAATGTTAGTTTGTAAGGTTTGCGATCCTGAAGAGTTTTGACAAGTGACTTAGTGCATCCTGAGCAATCCGAAAACTGTGTTATTGTCATTATGGCGCTGGGAGGTGTCTTTTAGTAGCAAAAACCAAAAAGGGAGACTACGGCCAAAGCCGTACTGACAAAACCTGCATACTCTGAGCATTAATGATACTCCCAACAATAGTTCCCAGCAAGACATGATGGTTTAACCATCACACCAGCTTGCAGCTCTGTTGGTCAAAACAGCCTCCAGTCTTCTCCTTTTTTCCAGTACAATTTAGTTAATTATTCCCAGGTCTCCCAACAAGTCTGAGCTCCTGCTGGCTGCTGGAGCAATAGGAGCCTATTGTTGCAAATTTGCTTAATCCAGTGTTAGAACTCTTTATTGTCCAGAACAGAAAATGGCATGAATAGTAAAGGAAAAAATGTGAGCTGTTTCCTGTAGGGTTTTAACAACCCTCTGGGGGTGTGATTACAACATATGCTGGGGAACAGTGCTGAGCAGGGTGGCGGTGGGGAGAAGAGGCTCTGGCAGCATTGACCACCCCATCTGTAAGGCTCGTTACAGCGAGCTGCTGGGGAGGAAGGGGAGAATGGGAGAGCTCTTCTTCATCCCAACGTGCCACTGTTTTTCAGCCCCTTGGCCTTCCAAGCTGTCACAGTTTGTCTTTGCAGGCTTAAGTGAGAGGTAAAGCAAAACTGACTGGGGGCTGATACAATTGTGGGCGCTTTGCTTGGCCTCCTGCCCTCATGTAAAAAGCATTTTAGTTCCAGGTGTCTTAGTTCTCAGACAGGATCATGTTGACACACGGTCTCAGGCATCTTGGAAGGGGTGGGATTATCCATGTGGGACCTGGGAGTGTGGAACATTTGACAGTGCTGCGACCTTTCTAGAGATACAAATCAACTTGTCAAAACTCAGGAAGCCACTGGGAAGTTCTGGACTGTATTTGAAATGAAGGACAGTTCAGGGTGATCTTGTAACCCTGTCTCTGGAGAGACCTTGGGCCTATATTGTGGCTTTGTCACCAGCGTATTAACTGGCCTCATCTCTTGCTGTTCCTTTCACATCTGTAGTGAAACTGAGCTGTGATGTTCTTACTGTGCACTTACTTTGTCTTTGTTGCAGGACTATAGTTGTTGGATAATTTCTTCTCTTGTGAAAGTCCAGCTTTTCTTGCTGATGCTCCTCAAGAGTTCATACAACACTGTCTGCTGTTCTCTCAGCCAGCGTGGGCAGGATATGGCACTTCCTGGAAGATCCTTGCAGTGGTGGTAAGGCTGCCCAGACAATATGTAGTATCACTTAGTTTAGATGAATATGCATGTGCTTTTCCCTGCCAGTGTCTGTCAGGGAAGGTTCCCCTTCTTCAGAGAAGCAAGATGGTTTAGTTATTACAGTGCTGGCAGGAGCTTTGGGCTTCCAGGTTCAATTTGCTTGCACGGTGTGACCTAGTGGAAGCTGATGAGCTTCTGAATGACTCAGTTCCATGTCTGTGGAGAGGATTCTTTCTTCCTCAGGAGTAGTGTGGCAATGACAAGTCAGGCCATTCAGCTCTCTCATGGCTTCTCCAAGTGGTTTATCTTGTTGGGAGTCTCATCAGAAAGACCAAGAAACAAAAACCTTGTGCACAAGGAGCTGCTTCTGATTCTTATTGAGAGCTCCCTAGGATAGTTCCAGAGGCACAGAGAACCTGTACTGGTGATACACAGACATTTTCAGACTTGCACCTTTCTTTTCCCCTGCCCCAGTAGTCACTAAATTACATGAAAGAAAGAAGAAAGCCAAAGGAGGTAGCAAAGGCATCAGGTGGCAATTCCTTGTGATGTGTTTGTTACAAGTGTCTCCTACTTATTAAATTTGCTGTGTTGGCTGTTCAACAGCAAAAATGTTGGAAAAACCCTACTCAGCTTGCACTGGTTCTCATTACTTTTTGGTTGAGGGTTAGGAGCTCAGAGTTAAATGAAGAATTTGAATGTATTCTCGACTCCTCTGTCTTTCTGTAGGATTCCTCCCCCAGAATCTGGAAGGCAACTCCGTGCCTTGTTTGAGAAACCATTTTGCAGCTATTTTTGTATATTAACGTGATGGTGTTTGTGTTCTGCTCTGTTCAAAGCTCTAAGTAAATGTTCAGGGTGAAAATTGATGTTCCCTCAAAAGCCAACTTCTCACATGTGGTAATTATGAAAGTCATCACATTCCTAATAGTGGTGGAGGAGTGAGCAGGAAGGTTCACCCTTCTGAGACTCTCATCTTTCTTCCAGGAAGGCCCCACTTGCTGTGGTGGAAGACAGCAGCTTCCTTCCAGGAGATGTCCTTGTTACAGCATGTCTCTTGCTGTGACAGCATGGCCGTGGCCCAGTGTTGTCACTCTGCCTGTTGCCACAGTGAGTTGTGTGACATTTTTTTAGCTCATATAAATGGCTTTGCTGACATGAGTTAAATGCCATCAGCAGGACAGGGAACACCAAGAATGAAGTTAGCATAATGCACAATGGAGCCATTCTGTTTGTTCTGCCGGCTCCATTCTCTGTCACTGCAGTTTGCCATTGACTAAATGAAAACCCCATTTGAAGCACTGATAAAAGGTCTCCCACGCCCTCCAGTTCTTGCTTTCCTGAGGAATTCAGAGACATAAACCAGACTGCAGCAAGCCGTAACTCTTCAAACGTGTAAGAAACCACAACCGGGAATGGATTATTCCATCTTGCAATGGCTGAAGTGAACAGGGGTGTTCTTACCTGTTTTGGGCTGCTGGGGTTTGTGTGTAACATCTTCATTGCTCTTGGTGTCCATGCCAAGTAATGGACCTGCTTCCATAAAACATTGGTACTGTTCTTTATGTTATTTAGTTAGTATCTAAACTTTGTTACTTCAGGACTGCAAATAGCTCTAAGCAGATCCTTTAGGAATCCTGTTTGTTGAGGTTGTGTTTTAGCAACGGATGAATAAGTATTTGTACATAATCAAGCCATAAAATCAGGTTTGGAAACTTTTGAAAATAGGGTTTTGTTTCATCTGGAAGCATCTAATAGAAAGGTAGGAGGATGCTGAAGCAGGGCCTCACACTTCAGCTCCTCTCCTTCTCACTGTGTACCTTTGGAGTTTGTAAATGTTAGACAATAGCATTCAAAATAATGCTGCTGATGTATTTGGCCTTCTCACTGATTCACTCAGGGTGAAATGTGTCGGGTTGGTCCAACTCCAGTTGTAATCCAGCAGTTCACACAACAGGCAATGCATCTTCTGAGTCATGGATAGTTTATGCATGGTGACAGTTAACAAAAATACTGACTGATGGAGATTCAGTTGAGACTTCAAGTGTGCAATGACTATGATCATTTTTCATCTCCACCTTTCTGTATTGCTGCAGACATCACCAGGCTCTTTTGCACAAGTATGGAATTGAAATGCAAGTTTTCAAATATCTAGTGCTCGTTCAAAGAAGGGACTAATCTGCTCTTTGAGTCCATGGAGAATAAGATAAGAAGCAATGGGCTTAAATAATATCCCTTGGAAACATTTTCACAGTAGGGATATAGACCATTGGAAGGCTGCCTGGGGTGACAGTGGAGTCTCTGTCATTGGAAGTGTTTTAGAAGAGGGTAGAGATGTCTTTGTGAGGAGTGCATTGGTACTATTGATCCTGTATTGGGGGCAAAAGGAGGAGATGCTTCTTGAAACCATCTTTTGTATAATTTGGTTTATTATGACCATAAATATATAAGAAACACTGTAAACTACTCAGCATACCATTGGGGAGGGTGTAGATGTTTTTCACTTATTTTTAGCACTTGACCTTACAAGACTGAAAAATAACTTTTTCCTTCTGACTTTTGTCCTCTGCTTGGCAAAGATTAGTTAAAAACACAGAGACGGAAAATATTTAAACTTTAAACTAGGATGAGCTTTTCTTTTTGTTGTTTGTTTGTGTGCTGCTTTCATTTGTGATGTCAGCTCCAGTCAGGAAAAAAAGGTGTAACTAACCTTGGCACCTTGCAGTTCTAAAGCGCTTCCACGCTGAAGCCCAAACAAACACTATCTGCTGCTCACTTCTTTTTTAATCAGTAATGCTTAAGAAGTTATAGACAAACCTGAAAGCTGTTTCCCCATCAGATAATAAGAAATTCAAATACATCAGCTCCTTTTGAATGTCTTTTTTTAAACAGAAACAGGCACCCAGAAATAACCAAGCCACTACCAAACACTTTCTGATCTGCTACTACGTGTTTAAGCTGTGTCAAAGTGGTGATTTACAAGGATTTCTATCCCTCAGATCTGAATACAGAAAGGTATAAAATGCATCCAAGGAAAATAAAGGTAGGAATGACCTCAGCCTGTGGAGACACCACGTCTTGCTCAGCTCAAGGAAGCTCTGGAGAAACAGGTTCCATTTATTTGTAGTTATTTTGCTACTGTCAATGAACAGAAATGATCCCAGAATCTGTTGCAGACTGAAGAGAAATGGCTTTGGGTTTCTAGAAGAATGCCAAGACGTATTGATCACTGCCTTAGTATGCAGACAACTTACTTATTCAAATATTTAAAGTTGGCGTAATGCAGATTTAATATGCTGTGCTTCGTTTCATTTAGAGTAATGGAGCAACAATAAGCACTGTTGTGTCACTGTGCTGTTCTACACTAATTGTTGCTGAGGGCAATGAAGGTCATTTCTCAGCATGGAACATGCCTGACTTTACTCTTCTAAGTACATATTCACTAAGAGCATCTTCTAGGTACATACATTTTCCCATTTGGGCTGGAACACCCCAGCTGACTGCAATGTTACTTACAAGTAACACGTGCTGCTTGTGCACCAGGTTGGTATAGTCTCCAGCCTTGCCAATAACTTCATTATTAGTGACTCTCTTTCAGAGGATAACAGAGGTAGGACCGTCGTTGTACAATGTTCACATTGTCCAAGTTCTCTTTTTCTCTTCCCTGTGAAGAGATCCAGGTTCACTGCTGGTAGCCCTGAATATTCCAGATACTTTGGTGACTTGCAGCCTGTCCACACAAGGTGCTCTTCACAAGAGAGGGGGTCGCTCTGTTTCTTTTGTCCTTTGCAGTGAGTCCAGGAGCTTGGAAGGTTTCTTCTTTATAACGTCAGTTATTTGAGTTTCTTCAGTCCCAAGACCCAAGAAAATTATCTAACATCTCTATAATATGGTTTTGATGAGTTAATCTGGATGTCAAATGATAGACATATTAGAAAATACAGTGAATTTTGCATATAACATAATCACCATGTTTAGTATCATAAAAGGGCGTGTTCTGGGCAGCTGAAAGGGTTCAGAAGAACATGGAGCTGCATACAGAGGAAGCAGAACTTTTCCTAATATTCTTCAAGAGATCTTCCTGAATCACTTGCTAGATCCCTTCCTGGATCCCTTTCTGGCTGGGGTCACACTGCCTTACAAGCCAATGTCACACACTCTCAGAAATTACTTCAGGGGGTTTTCTCACGTGGCTTGCTTTGGTTTATGTCGTGCTATCACTGGGTAATATTTTGCATAGATAGCAGAAAATGTCATTACTGCTCATACCTATTTTATTTGCCTTGTACTGAATAGTTCCTTTTTCATTTCTTTTTGTAGTACCAGGACGTTGATCATCTCATCATTCTACATACAGATTTATTTCTCCATACAAAGCAAATCTGACGTCAGCTGGTTCCGAGGTGATCTCACAAGTGACCCTTGTCCACTCTTCATTCCATGTGAGTTACATCGCTTTCTTTCTGGAGTTTTATGACTTCTCCCCAGTTGAAAAAAACAGATTTTTTTCTGAGTAGTTGGCTAGAACCTGCCTCTATTAATGACCCATCAGGCTTCTGCTGAAATAATGTGTTTTTCCCTTAAAACTCTCCACTACCATAACAGGTCCTAAGAGGCTTCCCTGCTTGGCATCTAGCAGGGTCCTGAAGTGAGCAGCCTGCAGAGGCTGATGCCTCTCCCCTCTGGACAGCAGCATCCTCAGACATGAGCTGGACAGACAGCGACTAACAGCGTTTCAGGGGAGAGACTGTCTCTGTAGGATGTGTGATGGGGTATTCTCATTCACTCCCCACTTGTTGCTATAAAATAAAACTGTAAATAATTCCCAGAACATCGCTGGGAAAATGAGTAGATTTTATCTTTAATCAACTGCCATGGTTTGAATTTGTCCAGAAGCACCCAGAAATGCTAAAACCTGGAAAACTCCATAGGCTGGAGCTCCTCCTGAGCTGCTTCAGCTCACCACAGGTATCCAACCCTCAAAGCTGATTTACCTGTGGGTTGACAGCAGAAGGTCACTTGCTGTGTGTGACATGAGATGGCACATGTGCCAGACAAGCAGAATCATACCAGTGCCACCAAGGCAACACATGCAAATCAACTTTATTTTCAGTATAAATTGGCTCGGTGCAAGAAATGTAAAATCTGTCAGCTGCAGCATTCCTGTGATACAAACCTCGTAACATTTATTTGCTTACTTTAGTGACCATCCAGGCCCTGCAGGGCTGCTCCCAGTTACCTTCATCAACTGTGCACAGCCACAGGGATGGGAAGGTTTTCCTGAACATGGGAGGTCTGAGGTCAAACTGAGAAAACAAATCTGTATGTAAATAGCCACGATCCTGCTGCTGTAGCACTTGAGAGACTGAGCTACTGTTTCCTGGGGCTTTCCTGACTGTGTCCCCAAGGGTGTTTTGTGATCAACGTACTGACAGATCTCACAGTCAAGCAGTGGGAATGTGTGATCAGGAATTTCACTGCTTTTCAGACCAAACTTTTCCACAGGTCACAGTTTCAACATGTGATTTCCTTGAGGTAGTAGCTTTAAGGTTTTTGGGGGACAGATTTTCTTTGGCTGCTGTAGATGGATTTCTCAATCTGCTCTGTGTCCTCTGATGGAAAATGCTGGATTGAGGCTCCTTGCTTTACTGACATGAAATAGCAAAGTCTACCTTCCTTTCATACCATCACTTCTGCATTGCATCCTTCCTTTAGGTGGAGGCAACAAGAACATCAGCCTTCCAGGGCTAGTACATTTGTCCAATCCCTCTCCAAAATAGGATGTGATAGCTCCTCTTTGGAGTTGGAAGATGACTCAATAGTCCTATCCCAAGTGTGAGTGGTGAAACTGTCTTTTGCGAGTTAAAAGAGCCTTTTCTGAAGCTATAGTGAAGTCCAGATGTCTCATAGCTGTTGTGATCTTGAGAGCAGTTTTAGGAGGAAAGTCTGTGAGGGATACAGCTATGAATCATCCTGTGTCCATGAAGAAGAAATAAAAACCCCAATCCAAAAAGAATCCATTTAATTCTGGAATTTTCTGACCTATTTTGGTGCAAGCTGGGCTAAAAAAAAAACAACCCTCAAGCTCCTGTGCTGATGAGTTTCTCATATTGTTTACTCCTGTAACATTCCCTGTGCACTGCCAGCCAGGAATGACGTCCACCCCTCGTCCAGCATCACAGAATAAGAACTTCAGAGGAAGGAATGCAACTTCATAAATAGCAAACCACAGACACTAATGGGGAGCAGAGGCAAACCTGCAGGTTAAAATTCCTTGCAAGAGAAGCCCATAGATCCACACTGCCTGGAGATTCAGAGATGATCTCAGCTCTAGCCTTCGTTTTCCTCCTCTGCATCTCCTGCCCTTTTTCATCATGTCAGCAGCGAAGGGCTGGTGGTAAGTCATTTTCATGATTTCTGTATTTTCTGGACTCATATGTTTTCTAGACTCCCATGAAAAGTATGTTTTGCAGAAGGGAATGAGGAAGAAGGTAACATTCAACTGCATCCACTGAAGCCTGAAAATGATGTTTAGGGATTTTGTAGTTTCGTATGAAACTTGAAGCTGAACTGTGTAAATGTTCAGTCTCCGATTTTTCCCCCGTTCCCCTCCAGAGCAGGGAAGTTGGGTTTTAAGGAAAACATTTGTTCAAGGGCAGCTGGAGGTTTTGGTGTGTTTTGGAATGACCTAAAAAAGGCACTTTCTATAAATCTGCATTTTACATGTGATTTGAGTTAAAAACCAGGTCATACAGAATGTCCTATAGCAGGATCCTTAGATATCCTCTCTGCTTGTGCACACCGAGCTCAGAGAAGCCCTGACTTCCAGGAATGTAGTTCATTACAATAGGGGGATGCTCAGCTCAAAGAGGATATGGGAGATCTGGCAGACTCAGGCTGTGTACCAGAGATTCAGATGTGTGCTTGTGGAGACAGAATGAGTCCATGGAGAAGGATGCATAGCAATGGGAATGTCTGCAAGTGCCTAGATTTCCTTTGGGATTTGCTCCTGGGCAGTTGAATCATTATTGTGAATTTGGACATTAAAAAACCCCAAACTTTTCTTTTAAATTACATCTTGCCACAAGGGATGGAAAATTCTGCCCAGGAATAACGGCAGCTGCCTGCGGGCTTCCTGCAGAGCTTATTCAAAACCTCTGGAGTTAGAAATCATGTGCAAGCTCCTTGCTTTCAATAAAATAAGAAACATGACTCGAATTCAGTCCTTCTGTCTTAGAACATCACATTTGTGGTACTTTCAATTTAGTTCCCAAACCGAAATGCATTGGAGAGGTTGCGAATACAATCCTCTTGGCGCTTTGTGGGGTAGACCTGTGAGGCTTCCAGGCTTATTTGTCACAGAGAATGCCAGAGTTGTGCTAAGCACAGGCTCACACCCTGCCTATGACACTGGCAAACTCATGCTGAAGGAGGCAGCCCCCAAATCCAGCTGATTTTCCCCTGCCCATGCAGTGGAAGATGCTCCTGTTTGTCTCAACGGTTTGCTTATGCTGTAGGCAAGGTGTGACTTCTGTTGAAGGACTGGTTCATCTAGAAAAGCCAAAATGAGGTTGTGATTTCTTGTGAGAGACAGGGAATAGCAGAGTTGAGCTTTGTGTCCATTTGGTTTCAAATGGTTCAAGTTTCCTTATAACTGACATAGTTTTAGAAGCAATGAGCTGCTTCTATTCATTCCTCTTGAGCGAAGAGTATGGACTAGATACTGAGCATGTCCCAAAGGACTGGGCAACTGTAGAATCTAGCAGATGGGAGAGAAAAGTAGTGTTAATCTGCCCTAAATGACCTTGTAAAATGATTTCTATTTTGTTCAGCGTAGCTTAAACAGGATTTTGCAGTGTTGGATGAGCAGATGGATCCTCCATGTCCCAAACCCACTACTGAGCAATTTGAAACTGCCGCTACCCAAAAAGAGCCTGTCTCCAGCAAGGAAAAGTCTGTCCCTTGAGAACAGGCGAGGCAAGGGCTGACGTGCTGCTTTTCCACGTTCAGTGCTTGGCAGCACGTTTGGGATAGACTCAGCAAAGAGCCTTACTTCAGTGGTGCCCTTCATAGCAGCTTCCACAGCACTGAATTATTAATCTGCTGCTTTTGGCAGCAAAGCCTTTCTATGTGTGAACTGCAGAGCCCGTGCCAGATAAGCAGCTACCACAACTGCCAGCCTGCCAGGCCAAGCTGTTTGCTGAGGGGTAGCTGTTTCCTACCTGCCAGGAATGGCTGATTATCACTGTCTGCCCCATCCAGAGCAAACTCTACCCTGTGTGCAGGTCTCTGTTAACTCCAACAAGCTTCTAGTTAGGAACAGCCAGAGACTGGTATGGAGGAGTCTGTATCTCCTCATATCTTAATAATACCTTGTACCTTAAGCTGAAGTTAATAATACCATTGATTCAGACTGCTGATGGTTCTTCTGTGTTTTTCCCAACCACTTTGGTATTTTAGGAGGTGAAGTTGGGCCAGAAATGCTGGAAGAGATGAGAGAAACTAACCGTGTGCTAATGGAAGTTCGAGAGTTGCTGAAGCAGCAGGTAGGTGGGAAAGCGACCTGATCCCTCATATCCAGAGAGATCTCTGAATCCTCTGCCTTATGTGCTGACTTCTGCAGCTGGGGGGACTGCTTCTGGTCTGAAGTGAAATGAGCAATAGAATTATTGCACTGCAAACCGGAATCAAGAGGTGGTCTCACAATCAGATCAGTAATAAAGATAAAGTGGATAAAGTGGATAAAGTGGATTCATGTGAATTCCAAATTCTGCTGCTTAGAACCCTGTCTGCTGAGAACAAAAAGAACTCAAAAAACCCAAAGCCATGCACACACAGTGGGTATGTATTTAACTGGAAAAACAAGTCACTTTTTCCTTGGTTTTGTGGGCTCATGAAATCAGTTAGAGAGTCCAGACTTGGAAGATGGAAGAGACCTTTCAGCCATCTATTAGGGTCCTGGAAAGGGAAATCATATGGAGTCTAAACAAGTGCTGTATTCACTCTTTCCTCTTGTTGTTTTAATCCTAAGCTTTTCTGGCTCTGGTAGTTTCTTAGGGAATTTGGAACTTCTTGGGTGCTTAGATCTTTTCCCATTTTAGCGAGGAGATGGTGGTTTGCCTGGTCAACTCCCTTTTAAGCATAGAAAAAGGTTCCATTCTCCCTTTCCCCACTGTGGGAGCTGAGGGCAGCAGCCCCTGCCTGCCAGAGGACTGGAATGGCAGACAGGTCCCTGTGCCAGTGCAAACTGGGCGGCCTCTGATCTGCAAAACCATCTGTTGCGTCGAGCTCCCCTCACATCTCAGGCTGCTGCATAAATAGCCAGTGTTTACTAGGAACCAGGTCAGACATGGTTCCTGGCAGCCTCGAGCAACGATTTCCAGTGTTCCCTTCCAGCTCAGCCCTGCCTCACCACACGGGTTTTCTGTTTGCTCTTTCTCTCACTCTGCCACCTACTTGGGGTTTTTTTTCATCCATGGCTTTTCTCAACAGTGCTTTCAAGAAAACTTCATAGGTAAAACTTGCAAATACAACTGGAGAGCCAAGGGGGCAGTTCAGCATTGCTTAATCTGTGCAAGGATTTTCTATAGCTTACTTTTCCTTGATTCAGCATTTTGGGGTGTTGGCAGTAAGGATGGCAAGAGGCCTGACAATGAAAGGTCAGATCTACTCTCCTGAGCCAAAGGCTGAAGTATTTTTGGCACAAAGGAGCCACTGATACTCATTAGTAGTGCTCTGAATCCTCTACTCTGCTCTGTCACCCTCTTCTAATGGGAGATGTTCTGGGGATTTGGGTTAGATCTCTCTGCATTAACTATTCAAAACACAGGACCCCAGGCCGTGTTGGAGGGAAGAGAGCATCTAGTGTAGGATGAAACTTGCTCTTACACCTGGGAGCTGGCAGAGACATGGGCTTTTGTCAGAGTGAAATGATGTCCACAGGGTGTGAAAGGTTGGTCCTGAGCATCAGTTGCAGACAGTGAGGCTTTGCAGGAGAGAAGTCTGCTGGGACTGCTCTCTGAGATGCTGGAGAATCTATAAACCTGAGCTTGGGACTGACATGCTTACTTCTGCCTCTCCATAACCCAGGTGAGGAAGTTTGGAGGGAGGAGCTTTTATGAACAGATCATAAACACCCTCAAGGCAATGGCATTAGGGACAAAGAATGGCAAAAGCAATGCCAGAGATTATTCAGGTATCTGCAAAGATGGCTCATGGGAGCCTCCCTCTGAGCTTTCCTTACACAGTCTGGGCTGCAGGTCAGTCAGACCTCTCTTGGACTCTAGTTCAGCATCTTTTACAGTAGAAGACCCAAATAAAGTAGATTTCTCTTTCTCTGTGACACTTGTTTGTGTGTATTCAAGTCAAGTGTCTCCTGCATCTGTGATAGAATAGTATTACCAAGTTAGCCTGGAGAAACACTGCAGCAGGGAGCACAAACCACCTCAGGTTCCAGAGAGTCTGCAACACAGACTTTGGGTACCCAGAGTTACTTTGTCAGTGGCTGTGCAGTCTGAGAGACACCCTGGGTTTGGCAATGGGGCTTACGAGTTTGTGTGGGAGCAAAACTCACCCTTTGGCTAAGTGATGGTTCTTTTCTTCTAGATTAAGGAGATAACATTCCTGAAGAATACAGTCATGGAGTGTGATGCCTGTGGTGAGTTAGTGAGCTGAGTCCTATGTTCAACTGTCTCCTCAGTCCTTCATACCTTTGTGTGCAAACAAGTACTAAAAAGCTACCCTTGACTGTGTCCCCAAAGGAAATGGATTGTTTCACAATTACCTGAGTGTCACAGGGTAATACTCAGTATTAGTGATGCTTTTCCCCCACCACAGCATTCTACACACATGGACCAGTGTTCCATGCTGCTCTCATGTTCCATGGCAGCTGAAGCTATTACCCCTTTCCTGAGCAGAAGTAGCCTTAAAAAGCTGAATCTTTCCTTCCATCAACCCCCCAACATTTGCTTACTTGCACTGTTTCTGAAATCAGCTCTATGGGTGGCTCTGTGACACACCATGCTGGACTTCTCAGGGTAGCTACATGCTGGTGCAGAAAGCTGCCCAACCACATCTCCTCATAACCTAACCTATGGCCCATGTTCAAATTGCCTGGGAATGCACACTGGGTATCCTGTGGGATACAGCTGGCTACTCCTGAGCTGCAAGTGGAAGAGAACATCACCCCCAAGAGGTACTGCTTTGCTATTCCTTCCGTCCTAGTGCTGCCACCATCCAACCAAAGGGGTTGTTTACGCAGAGTTCAGGAAACAGGGTCATATTTTTACCCATATAAATCTTGTTCTCTGCTCCCCTGTAAATGTTGTAGGGTTTTATTTCTAAACTGGAACTTACTTCCAGTATATCTGGCTTGCAGAAAGCATGGTTCTTGGAGGTGCTGTTACCTGCCAGTACACTCAAAGGGTGTAGCAATAACCATGTCTGCAGCAGAGACTGTCCTTCTGCTGGAATAGAGATTAGCCAAAGCTCCTGGGGCCTGCAGTACAGAACTGCATTCATCCACAGCAATTGTTCTAATAATTTGCTCATAAAACTGTCCTGAACTTTCTCTGTTACTTGATTTCTGCCTTCCCCACTTGCTAGTCTGTTTTATGTGTGTTCTTCTCCTGTACTCCTTACTGTAAAATTTGAGCCTCTTTTAGTCATGCATTGAACAACGTGACTCCCAGCAGTCGTGTGCTTCTCATTATTGCTCAGAAAGAGAAACATGAAGAGAGGAAGCCTTGGGTTTAGTGAAGATTTTGCTGCTGGCAGTGGTGGAGTGTTGGCTTTTGCTCTGTTTTGTTTCAGGTTTTTCGTGTTAGGCTTTTAAACTGGAGAAAGTGGGAGCAAAAAGTGTCCTGCTACCACTTGGAGTAGTGGCTATGGGAGACCTGTGACAATCCTGGAAGGCTTAGTCACAGTCCTGAACTGGCCTTCAGTGAAGTTCTGTGTCCCGTAGACTGATTCTGCAGCTTCCCTAGTGCTGTGGGGCAGGTCATGAGGATAGAGGCAAAAACCTGGCATTTGGCCTCAAACTTTTAAGAGAAGCTGGTGTGAGCAGTGTGACACAGGCTGGATTTATTCACAGTGCTTTGGAATAGGACTGCAGGAGCATTTATATGGGTTAGAATTTCCTACCCATCAAGCACAGTATGCCATGCTTAGATGGACCATATTGCTGTATTCCAGCCCAGAAGTGATGAATGGCTGCCTAACAGATTGATTTCCCATCTGCCAGGATGAAGAGAGGTTTCTTGCCTTGTGAAGACAACAGGTAGCATGTTATGCATAACATCATGGCACAAAGCCTTATTGAGCCTGATGTGAGTATTTTCCTGCTACAGACCAAGCTGACCTGTTTAACGTGCCTGCTTCTACAGCAGGGACTTTGCCTGACAGCCCTCCACAGCACTTCCCAGAATTAAGCCTGTGTGGGCTCTAACCTGAGTCCATAGCACCAGTGACGAGTAGTTAAGAAGGAACCAAGGAGAGAACTGATCTCTGTAGAATCATAGAATCATAGAATAGTTAGGGTTGGAAAAGACCTTAAGATCATCCTGTTCCAACCCCAACGCCATGGGCAGGGACGCCTCACACTAAACCATGGCACCCAAGGCTCTGTCCAACCTGGCCTTGAACACTGCCAGGGATGGAGCATTCACAATCTCCCTGGGCAACCCATTCCAGTGCCTCATCACCCTCACAGTAAAGAATTTCCTCCTTAGATCCAATCTAAACTTCCCCTGTTTAAGTTTGAACCCATCACCCCTTGTCCTATCACTGCAGTCCCTAATGAAGAGTCCATCCCCAGCATCCCTACAGGCCCCCTTCAGATACTGGAAGGCTGCTATGAGGTCTCCATGCAGCCTTCTCTTCTCCAGGCTGAGCAGCCCCAACTTTCTCATCCTGTCTTCATACTGGAGGTGCTCCAGTCCCCTGCTCATCCTCATGGCCCTTCTCTGGACTTGTTCCAACAGTTCCATGTCCTTTTTATGTTGAGGACACCAGAACTGCACACAGTGCTCCAGGTGAGGTCTCACAAGAGCAGAGTAGAGGGGCAGGATCACCTCCTCTGACCTGCTGGTCACGCTCCTTTTGATGCAGCCCAAAGCAAAGGCATTACACCAGCAACAAGAGATTTGGACTGGAGCTAAGGTTTCTGGGGTTTCTTGTTTATTTTTTGTCTGCTCTGACTCAGGAATTTGTCAAACTGCTGCTTCTGGCTTCATTTGTTTCCATTTACAAAACAGCTACAACTGCTCAACCTCAGAAAGGATGTGAGGAGATGTCCTGTGTGTGAAGCACACTGATCCCTTCAGAGACAGTGGAGCCACCTGATGCTAGTCCCTGGTGGTGACAGCTCTGTTCTAACATTCCTCTTGTCCTCCAGGCATGCACACCGAGGCCACAGGCCCTGTCATCACCGTGACACAGTTTAACAGATGCCTCCCCAACTCCTGCTTCCCTGGCGTGGCCTGCACCGAAACCGGCACCGGCTTCCGCTGTGGACCCTGTCCCCCGGGTTATTCAGGCAATGGCACCCACTGCACAGACATCAATGAGGTAAAAACCCCACGTGGGACAGGCTGGAGGGTATAAACCTGACTCACTTGGCTTGGAGTGTTGCAGGTTTGGTTTGTGGTTTATAAAGAAAAGTCTTGCAAATCCCCTCGGAGCTGCAGAAACATCAGTTCGTGGGAAGGCAGTCTGTATCTCACCCTCCCTTGAGCTCTGTTCCATGGTGATTTATATCCAGCTAGGGAGTTCTTTCTAAAAGATACATAGGCTCCAACAAAATAAATCTTTTGGTTTGTACCACACAGGAGGGTGAGTTTGGAAGCCTGGAACAGCCCCTTTTGGTCTTACGATCTTTCGAGCTAATGGCTGATGAGTTGTTAGAGATAAGATTTATTATGTGTGGAATAGAATCAAACACTTCCCAAATAGTCCTTTCTACAATAAATCTTACCGTACTACTCTTAATGCTGTACTTCTGCCTTTAAATCAAACCTTGCTGGGCAGATACTGTTTGTTATTTTTAGGAAGTGTGGCATTCCATCAAGTTTTCTTCCCCTGTCTGTGCAGAGTTTCACTCAACCGTTTAGTTTGTGTGTACATAAGATTCCTTAGTTGTGTGGTTCCCAAATCCCAGTCCTACGCTCTCCGATGAGGCCACCAAGCAACTGCAAGTGTCTTGCAAAACTATATCACCTTTATAGTGTTTCAGTTTAAAACCTGCTGAAAAGGGTCAGTGAGAGTGATGATAATCTGTCGGTCACAAAACCGTGGGAACCACTCTGTTAATGTGTCTGCCAGTACAGAGCACAAGAATTCAGTGAAAATAACAAAGTGTCGGAGAAAATGAAGCATTAATAGCAATTTTGGAAGACAATTGCTTCCCAGGGTAGTAAACAAACAACTGTTCTTGTCTGTCAAAACCAGTGTAAGAAATGATCCAGTTCTCTGGGTTCAGAGACTGCCAGGAAGGAAAGTGTGAAGTGAAGCCAGCCCTTTGCCTGGGCAATTGATGTCACCAAAGAAGAATTAGTCCTGAAAGCTGATTTGTTTTACTTGTCTGCACATTACTGGAACTTGGGGGAACAACGGAGCTGGGGAAGCTGCGTTTTCCACTTGCAAGGAAAGCCAGGAACTTCTATGCATTTTTTGGTTTATTCTTTAAACAGAAAAGTACAATAGGTGGCTCTTGGCCAGTGAGGCCTGTTTTGAGAGCTGGCTTCACAGCTGGCTCTGAGGGAGAGCTATGGGCCTGCCTTACAGCTCTGCACCATCTCTCTTGTTTGCAGTGCAATGCAAACCCCTGCTTCCCGAAGGTCCAGTGCATTAACACCAGCCCTGGCTTCCGCTGTGATCCCTGCCCTCCTGGCTTCACCGGCCAGATGGTCGAAGGGGTTGGACTGACCTATGCGAGAGCCAACAAACAGGTAAGGTCTGGAAACATTTCTGTCTCCTTCAGAAGCCATTAATTCTTTCCCCTCTGTAACTGTCATTCAAAAGTCTTGGAGCCTTCAAAGAAATGGGAGGGACATGCAAGGTGGCTGCTTTGTGTTGGTGGAAAGACTGATGCAGTGAGAGGAGACACTAGCCAAGGATGTCCTGGCACATCAGCAGTGAAGCAACCTCCACTCTTAAGACCTTACTTCTGCTCAATATGTGCCTGACATAATGTTATGTCTGTGACACCTCTGGGGCTGTGAAGCCAACCCAGGGAATCCTTCATGCTAGGACACAAAGAGCTCATGCAGCTACTCCCCCTCTGCTTCCCCAACAGCTGTAGACAGGCTAAAGTAAAAACAACAACAAAACCGTATGGTTTATAAGCAGGAACGGCATGTGGCTTGTGTTATTTAGAGAGCTGCTAGCTGGTCACAGGATGCAGCCTTTGACCTTCTTGTTCCATTGACCCTCTTCTATCCTTTTACAGTAAGGAGATACTCTGCCAGCTCAGCTCAGAGCTAAGCTATTTTGCCAGGCTAAAATCTCTGGTGACTGTAGGGGGTGAGCAGCTCTCCTGGGGTCAGGAATATTGCTGGGATGTGCCTCCACTTTGAAGGAAAACTTTGAGCTGTGGGTCCTAGTAAGGTGTGTCAGAGGCTTTGCTTCTGCATCTAGTGATGTGCTAATTCTGTAATCCGATGGGGGATCTGCTCAGGAGTGAAGTGAATGCCTATTTTGTTCTTCCTGGGCAGGTTTGTACTGACATCAATGAATGTGAGACAGGCGCTGCCAGAAACTGTGTCCCCAACTCCATCTGCATCAACACACGGGTCAGTACTACCGAAAGCCTCTGGGGCCTCGGTTAGCTGTGGCAATCAGCTGCTGAGGAAGCAAAGGCTTGCCAGGACTCATGTGGTTGTTAATTCCCTATTGCTCTTCCTTGCAGGGATCCTACAAATGCGGGGCTTGTAAACCTGGCTTTGTTGGGGACCAAGTGAATGGCTGCAAGAGCCAGTCAGTGAGACGCTGCCCTAATGGAGAGATCAGCCCGTGCCACGAGAAAGCAGAATGCATCGTGGAGCGCGATGGGTCCCTCTCCTGCGCGGTGAGATTCAAACCTCCCTGCGAGCAGCGCTTCCTCATTCCGCCTTCCCTTGCGCTGTGCTTGCTCTGCTGGGTCTGCCACTGCCCTCTCCTGGAGAGCCTTCCCGGCACCGACCTGCTCTCCTTTAACACCTGAGCTGCTGCGGTGTCGCTTCCAGTGTTCCCTGGAGACGTGGACTTGCTCCTGGCACCTCAGGTCCACTCTTGTGTGTTTGGGCTTTGGTTTTTGCCTTTGCCTGAAGTGCTCCAAGGTTGTCAGTCATGGAGCATTACACACAGCTGAGCAGGGAGAAGCACCCTGCAGCAACCTGCAGGAGCCAAGATGCTGCTGCATCTGTCTTTGTAATCTCAAGAACAAGCTGAGAGCTTGTATCTGAGCTATGTAAAATGGTGTTTACAGCATAAATGCTTATTCCAGACAATATTTTTCCCGTAGAGCACTGTGTACCTGGATTTGCAATGTTTCCTGCTGGTTCTCACGTGAAGCCTTCCATTTTGGAGGCATATGGCCATCAGGGGACTCACTGCCAGCCTCATTTTGTGCATGTGCTGTCTTCCAGTGCCTCGTGGGGTGGGCAGGGAACGGCTACGTGTGCGGGAAGGACACGGACATTGATGGAGTCCCTGATGAGAAGCAACGCTGCTCAGACAAAAAGTGCCGCAAGGTACGATGCAGTTGTCTCGTGTAGCTGATAACAGGACACCAGAGGAATGCCTGAGCAGAACTGATGTGAGACCCTGCTCATCCTTCAGAACTCGGATTCCTAACAAGCCCTTTGTTGCCTTCCTTGCAGGATAACTGCATGACTGTCCCCAACTCCGGCCAAGAGGATGCTGACAGGGATGGAATTGGAGATGCTTGTGATGATGATGCTGATGGAGATGGGATATTAAATGCTGAGGTTTGAATTCTAATGCTTAAGCTCTGCCGTACCTAAATGTACCCAAAGGTCTTGCACATCAATTGCCTTCACTTCTCTCTCTCTCTCACTTGGCCAAGTGTCTGTGTGACTCCTCAGTAGCATGCTCAGAGCCACACGTTCCCCTTCAGCCCATCCCTGTCTCCCGCAGGACAACTGCGTGTACACGCGCAACGCAGACCAGCGCAACATGGACAAGGACAACTTTGGGGATGCCTGTGACAACTGTCGCCAAGTGAAGAACAACGATCAGAAGGACATTGATGGTGATGGGAAGGGAGATGAGTGTGACGATGATATGGATGGAGATGGTAAGAGCAGCAGGAGAGCATCCTCAGAGAAGTGCATATATAGTGATCTAAGGCCCAGAAAGCTGTGCAGCACGCAGATAGAGAGCCTCAGGGCAAGTGCCAGCCTTCAGAGGCTTGAGATCTACAGGAGCAGAACTAACTTCTGGTAGGATGAAGCACAGCTCAGTTTTTTAGCTGCCAAGTCAAGCCAACATCCTTCACAGTTCAGTTCTCGCAGGATTTAACTCTCTCTCATCAGGATGGTGCTAACAACTTTTTATTAGCACTCTTATCGTGCACAATCACATCAAACTTAGGCAAGACTTAGGCAAGAAAGAAGATCTCAGGCCAGACAAGGACACTACTTAGAGATGTAATTTAAATGTAGGAAGAAGTGCGGGAATAGCCAGGTTGTTGGCAGCTACCAGCTCAAGGCAGGGCTGTCCTCTGGGGTGAAAAAACATTAAATGACTTTAGAAGCAGTGTGTGCACTGATGCTGCTGTATCTGCACAAAGCCTGCTTTCAAAAGCCAGGAATCACAACTGCCCTGGCCTGAGGCACACGTTCTTATTTACAGAGTATGTCTGCATCTAGCACTGTTTGGGTCTGGCTGCATCCTGCTGGCATGATTCACTGCTGTAGTAGGTAGATGCAGAGAAGCAGGAAGTGAAGTCATTCAGGTTGCAATTAGATTCTTCCTGCCCTTGAAAAGGCCCCATCTAAACCTTCCAGGTCAAATGGCCAAGATTAACCTTGACTTATTTTCCAGTTACACAGATACGTGCTTTAGAGGGAAAGCCTCTGTCGTGGTTTAGGGGACCACAGACAGCTTCAACCTTATCCTTTTGGCTCCTCGCTCCTGTACAGATGTGATGCTGGTTTGGAGCCACATTCTTCAGTTCTTTAGCTTCCTCTAAGAAGCACAGTTTGGGACATTTCCTCTCAGGTCCATGTGCAGCAGCATGCTCAGCCTGGGGTGTTTTCAGATCAATTGCTGCTGATCTTCATCCTCCAGAGCTGCCAGGATGTAACTGAAATTGTGTAAACCAGTTGCTTTATTACAAGACTTCAGCTGTCCTCAATTTTTGCCATCTCTTATATCCAAAAGAGATCTCTCTGCATAAAGCCTGACAGGCCTTTTGCCTTGACGGCTCCACTTTGCTTCTTTTACAGGGATCAAAAACCCCATGGACAACTGTAAAAGAGTTCCTAACCCTGATCAGAAAGATGCCGATGGTGACGGAGTAGGAGACATGTGTGACAGCTGCCCCACAGTCAGTAACCCAGACCAGGTAAGGCAGTACTCCCCATTCTGCAGTCCTGTGATGGTGCTGGTGTCACCTGCCTGAGGTGCTCAAGCCTGGGAACTCACCGAGCATCACTTACAAATCCCACAGTACAAAGGTGCAGCCCCTTGAGGTCACACGTCCTGGTTTGTGGAAGGGGAAGTCAGAGAGGAACTGCTGCACTCTGGCCTCCTCTCTTCCTACCCTCTTCATCTGTGGTTAGAAACAGCACTGCTTGAATCCATCAGGGCCACATGGAAATCCTGCAGCAGGAACTCTCCCACTGTTGTCAGCTCTGTTTGCAATCGGAACAGCCATGGCACTGAGCTGACCCCTCTCTTTGGTCTCTTTATTGCCTTGGTTACCTCTTGATCTATGGGAAGTGTCACTTATCATTGCTTTATTTTACCAGAAAGATACCGACCATGATCTGGTGGGAGACGTCTGCGACACCAACCAGGACAGGTGAGAGCTTGCTGCAAAGATTATACTGGGGTTGCATGAAACCTTGGGGATGGAGGGAGAAAAAGGCAATTCCCTGTCAGCCTGGCTTGGCCTTACCTGAGAAAAAGAGGTGAAGGGAGGTGGAGTTCTCTTCACACCTCAAAAGAACATGTCAGTGGGAGCACAGCCCGTGCTGGCCTGCTCATCATTACCTACCAGCCCCAGACCTGTTTGGACACTCCAGCAGGGATATTTCTGCTCTGTTGGTGGTGTAGCTAAGGGGCAAAACTCATCAACTTGTGCTGTTCTTGTTGAGGACCCCAGCCCCTGGAAAGGGGTTACCTGCTGCTTTTAAAACAGAAGAGCTTTACCTGTGGTTTCCTTCACAGCGATGGAGATGGGCACCAGGACTCACGGGATAACTGCCCATCAGTGCCCAACAGCTCCCAGGTGGACACAGACAACGATGGGCTGGGAGATGAATGTGATGATGATGATGATGATGACGGGATTCCAGATGAGAAACCTCCAGGCCCTGACAACTGTCGGCTTGTCCCTAACCCTGGCCAAGAAGACTCGGATGGTAAGGGGAAATGGATGCACCTAAACTCTGTTCCTGGTGGCTAATGCCTACCAGTTTGGTCTCTAGAGATAGCCAGGAATTAAGATCTTCTCAGTACTGACCTGGGACAGTCCTATGTCATTTTCAGATCTCCCAAACCCCTAACACTGGGATCATATCTGGCACAAGTTCTCTTCCAGCAGTGACAACAATTTGAGGTGTCTCCTGCTCTCAGCATCTCTGCAAGCAAGAGAAACCTCAGGGTTTCTTTGCAGCTGACTTAAAGTGTACCAGCGCTCTGAGCCCCTCTTAACCTTGCACACAGCTGCCTTAAACTGCACTATCCAACAGCTAGTGGAGTAAAACTCAGGTGTAAGGGGTAGGAGAGATTAATGAACACTTGTTACTGCTTTCCTTCTCTCGTGCTCTCAGGTGATGGTGTGGGAAACCTCTGTGAAGATGACTTCGACAGAGACATGGTGATTGACAGGATTGATGTGTGCCCAGAGAACGCAGAGGTGACCCTAACGGACTTCAGGGCTTTCCAGACAGTTGTACTGGACCCTGAAGGCGATGCACAGATTGACCCCAACTGGATTGTCCTCAACCAGGTAGGCACTGCTCCAGGACAGGCTGGGTCAAGGGGGGTACACGAACAGGCCTGTACCGAAGTGAGTGCAGTTTTCCTCATAAGCCTCTGCAGGTTTCACACCCTAATCCTGGAGCCTCACGCCAGGGGTCTTTCCTCTGAGCACTGAACCAGGGTCAGGCTGGTACCTTTGGAACTGTTCTCATGAGTGAACATTCCTCTTTTTCAGGGCATGGAAATTGTCCAGACCATGAACAGTGACCCTGGCCTGGCCGTAGGTGAGGCTCTTCCTCTTGTCCTGTTGGGAAGGTTACTGCTCAGTAACTGCCTGCTCCTAGTGCAGCTTTACAAGTACCTAATGCTCCATGCACCTCCGGGGGAAATACTTCCTGCAGGAGCAGAAGCTTCAGCTTAGCATCATCCACCTCTCCCATCCGGATCTGGAATCAAATGGATCTCGTTTTGTCTTAGAACACAGAGCCTTTGTTTTCTCACCAATTCCAGGTTACACGGCCTTCAATGGAGTGGACTTTGAGGGCACATTCCATGTCAACACTGCCACAGATGACGATTACGCTGGTTTCATATTTGGCTACCAGGACAGTTCCAGCTTTTATGTGGTCATGTGGAAGCAGATGGAGCAGACATACTGGCAGGCAAACCCCTTCCGAGCAGTAGCAGAACCTGGAATTCAACTGAAGGTAAAGCAGCCATTGATGGAGGATTCCCTAGCGGGTGTGTGGCCGTGCTGCTTGCACACACGCAGCTCCAGTCAATCCCTCCTTCATCCCCACCTCTTACCCATCTCCTCTCGCTCCCAGGCAGTGAAGTCTAAAACAGGCCCAGGGGAGTACCTCCGCAATTCCCTGTGGCACACAGGGGACACCACAGACCAGGTCAAGCTGCTCTGGAAGGACCCTCGCAACTCCGGCTGGAAGGACAAGACCTCGTACCGCTGGTTCCTGCAGCACCGGCCCCAGGTCGGCTACATCAGGTGGGGTTTACGGCTGCCTCTGCCCCTGCCCAGCGCTGTAACACACAGAACCAGCATCTCCAGTGCACTGCGGAGGGGAAGAGAGGGAGCATCTGATGGAGGACCAGTCTCTATGGGGGTGCCTGAGTCTCACGTTCGTGTCCTACCCGTGCTTGTTCTCTCCTAGAGCTCGTTTCTATGAAGGACCTGAAGTAGTAGCAGACACTGGAGTTGTCCTTGACACAACCATGCGAGGAGGCCGCCTGGGAGTCTTCTGCTTCTCCCAGGAGAACATCATTTGGTCCAACCTGCGTTACCGCTGCAACGGTGAGTTTCAAACACAGGGATCGCTGCCATTTTCCTTTCAGGACACTTTGCTCTGGGATCACCCATCCCTAAGCCTGCAGCAGGAGGGCTCACAGCACCCGAGTCTGTTTTCCACTCCTGGTTCTACTTCTAATCTGTCTTTGCTTCAATCTCCTCCTCCCCAGACACCATCCCAGAAGACTACGAAACATTCCGAGTTCAGCAAGACTAAGGCCTGATGTCGAGATGTGTCCAGCCTTGCTTTGAGCCCCTGCTCAGCTGCCCCACTATCGCTCCTGTAGCCCCTATGAGGAACTGTAAGTAACGTACCACTGCGGCATCACCCAGCATCTCTCCCACCACAGCAGCTGCCTTATACACTCCAAACCCTGCTGGCACGGCCGTGGTGTAGCCAGCGAGTGTGAACAGAGCCCAGGCTGCTGTAAACACGAGCTCTCTACACACCATGGATGCGCTGGGAAGCTGCTTGCTGTAGCTGGGATTGAGTCAGCCTCGTGTGGATGATTCCCAGGGGTATTTTCCCTACTCAGAGGCTCTCGAGTGTGAATGTTTTCCTTGTCAAGCAAACCCAGCCCCAGTCTGAAAAGGACACAGGGAGCAGCCCGTGTACAAACTGCTCACAAAACATTAAAAAAAAGCACTTTAAGGAGAGTGTCTTTGTTCTGGAATGTTGGATAATAAATACTTGGAATGTTGGATCATAAATACTTGGAATGTTGGATCGTAAATACTGGACTTCATCTTTGTCACGTGCATGTTGCTTTTTCCTCCTCTGAAACAATTCTACTGCAGATGTGAAGAGAGCCCCTCAGCAGCTGGGTTATCAGTTGTTAGTACAAATGCATGGGGCCATACTCTCCTGCAAGACCCTCCCTCTGCTCGGACTGCCTGCCTGGGCCTTGTGGGAGGGGGTCAGCCTTAAATGAAAGCTTCAGGTGGGATCTGGGCACCAGGCTGGGGCTCCTACAGCTGGACAGCCAAGGACCAGGGAGTGCTGCAGCCGTCGGTGTCATGGGTGCTCGCTGGAGCTGGGAAGAGCAGACCCAGGGTTTCCCAAGCTGCTGACCAGGGAAGGCTTCAGTCCTGCATGGGTGTCATCCCCAGTATCTCCTGGGTAACCCAGCAGCAGCATTCCAGCTGCCTCAAGAGCCAATAAAAGCACATCATAGAATCATAGAATAGTCAGGGTTGGAAAGGACCTTAAGATCATCCAGTTCCAACCCCAATGCCATGGGCAGGGACACCTCACACTAAACCATGGCACCCAAGGCTCTGTCCAACCTGGCCTTGAACACTGCCAGGGATGGAGCATTCACAACCTCCCTGGGCAACCCATTCCAGTGCCTCAGCACCCTCACAGTAAAGAATTTCCTCCTTAGATCCAATCCAAACTTCCCCTGTTTAAGTTTAAACCCATCACCCCTTGTGCTGTCACTGCAGTCCCTAATGAAGAGTCCATCCCCAGCATCCCTATAGCCCCCTTTCAGACACTGGAAGCTGCTATAAGGTCTCCACGCAGCCTCCTCTTCTTCAGCTGAACAGCCCCAACTTTCTCAGCCTATCTTCATACTGGAGCTGCTCCAGTCCCTGCTCATCCTCGTGGCCTCCTCTGGACTTGTTCCAACAGTTCCATGTCCTTTTTATGTTGAGGACACCAGAACTGCGCACAATGCTCCAGGTGAGGTGTCACGAGAGCAGAGCAGAGGGGCAGGATCACCTCCTTCTCCCTGCTGGTCACGCTCCTTTTGGGGGTTCACGTTAGTTACACTGACACTTGCTCCTAGCTCCTGTGGAACACTCAGCAGTGCAGCTCTGCACGCTCAGTACCAAATTCCACTCTAGAGCAAGGCTGAAGCATCCATCCCGTGCAGTGGCCATGCTGCTCCCGTTACACGCTCCCAAACAAGCAGGGGGTGAACACGCCTTCCATCTCCTCGAAAGGGCTCTCAGATCGGGAAGGACATTGTACCAGCTCCTAGGAAACCCATTCCCAAGTGGATCTGGCCAGAGATGCCTCCAAGCCAGGCGCAGGAATGAACGACCCCTCACTGACACTGGTCCCAGCAGCGTCCCGCGCACTCGCTCCAGTTACGCTTCCCACAGAGAGCAGGTTCCCCAGCACCCCCATCCCTCAGCACAGAGGAACCTTCCCAAAGACAAGCCCAAACCGGGCTCCAAGGCAGATTCACCCCACTCCAGAGCGATGCAGCCGCTGCCCAAGCAGAGGGACTGGGTCCTTCTGACCCAGCCGCCTTTGGAAGGTCCTGCCCTGGTCCTGGCCCCTCTGCTCAGCCCATGGGGCACCCAAGGCAGGCGCTCCTGTGGTGAACGCAACACCCAGGGACAAGCAAACCAGGCCAGGCTGAGCGCTTACACACTCAAACCTCATCCCACACAGCCCTAACCCTAAGCAGCAGCCCAGAGCCGAGACCTCAGTGAAGCTGAGACCATCACCACACCGGCCCCATGAGACACCAGCACTCAGGATGCTCCCAGTGACAGCTCCAAGCTCGAGACTCATCACAGCCCCTGCATCCCTCCAAGCAGTTGCAGTTTCCTCACACAGAGCTGGGTTTCAGCCAGGGGACCCCCAGCACTCAATTCCACCCTTCCCTTAGGAACACGAGCACTGCAACACCATTTCCACCCTGAGAACCACCACAGAGCAACCCGCAAAGGAAGCTAAGAAAAAGCTGAGCAGCAGAGACAAAACCAGTTGAACTTTTATTACATTTCATTTACAAATAATGCAAAGATACAAAGACAAAAGCCTTCACACAAAAAAAAAAGAGGATTGAAAAGAATGTACATTGAGTCGAGCTGCTTTTTCACATCAGGTCTCGGGTCGCAAACACTTAAAGCCAACTCCAGTTTCCACTTCACCCAGAGAAAAACACAATGAACAGCACTTCCCTGCAGCTGAGGATTGCATCTGTCAGTGAGGGAACCCACGGCTCCTGGGCACAGGGAGCGCTCAGCATCTGTCCTGCCTTGAAACGCATCAACCGGTGCTGCCGAGCCCCATGCACTGCACAAGGCTGGGTTTCAGCTGCCAGTAACGTCAACTCACCCATTTAATTACCACTGCGCCAGGGAATCCTTCACACTGGGGCTCCGGCACCGTCAGGAGCATCTACAAGGTCTCACCCCCCCAAGACCAAAGCCTCAGGCTCTGCTCTCTCAGTTAGGAGCTCACTGAACACCGTGGTCGCATCCCTGCAGCACCACGTTCGCATCCCTGCACTGGGTGCTGCAGACCCAACACCCGTCGCTACCTCTGTCCCCTCAGTTCTGTTCCGCCTGTGCCGATGCTCACACCAGGAATAGAGGGATGCTGGGGATGCAGGGGTTGGGGTCAAGCGAGCCCGGTGCCCCCGTGATGCCTCACCCCATAAACGTTATCCCCTAGCTTTCACATTCACCTGCTGCGAGGCCAGAAGCTCCCCCCGTTTGTGCTCCCTACATTTAACGTCTTAGAAACCCCAAACTGAGCCAAGCTTAATCCTTCCCAGTCAAACTGGGGTTGTGCCACTGCTCACAACCAAGGCCATTCGAGCACCGCTTCCTCTTCCCAACACACAGCACAGACTCTGTGGCATTCGGATCGCCCTTTGCACACCAGGGCTCAACCCCGCTGCTGCAAGTTCAAGCCTGTGAAATTCCAGCTGGGAATACAGAAACCACCACTGCTCCCACTGCAAAAACACAGCCCTGGATGGGGGGGCACAAACAGGGACCTTTCACCCCTTCTCTTCTCACCCACGGCTCTGCTCTGGGAAAGCCCGGCTGGGCCGGGAGGGCTCCCAGCTCCACAGTGGGAAAAGCAGGATCCCAGTGGGCTCCATTCAGGACCAGAGCCACGGGAGCCTCCACGGGCTCCCACTCCCAAGACTCCTCCAGCACAAGCACCGAGCACTGCGGCTCTGCCTCCTCCTCCCTTCATGCAGGGCTCCTACGAGGCTCAAATCCAGCTTCCACTGGAGGACCGGGAATGCCAAGAGTGGGGAGGGCTGAGGGCGGCTGCTGCACCCCCAGTTCTGGTTATCCCAATGGAGGCCCTGAAGGATTCCCTAAAGCCTACGGAAGGCAGAAGGTGAGATTGGAGCCCCCCGGCTCTGGTGTTCAGACAACATCAAGCAGAAGCAGGATTGAGCACTGAGACCGAACCTGTTCAACACCCACTGGTCCCAGCACGGCCTCACCTGACCCATGCGGCACCCACTGGAACGAAGCCCCCGAGCCAGCACACACCAAACCCCAGGGGCCTTCAGACCCACAACAGCCGCGTGCACACGGATGCGCCGCTTCAATCAGAGCCAGGGCGCATCCGTGATGCACGGTCCCTGCGTTAACCTGGATCAAATCCCTCCTGGGAGGTTTCTGCCTCCAAAGGCAGCGCAGGGTTCCTGCTCCAGGTGATGCAAAGCTCAAGCTCAGCTCCAGACTAACCCCAACGCTGCCATCGTTATCAAATGAGGAGGAGGAGCCCTTACACCCGCTCAAAACGCTGTCCCCTCTGCACACAGAGCTGTCAGGATGATGGGAAAGGGGTGCCTCCTGCTCCCATCGAGCAGAGCAACGGCTCAACCTCCTACCAAGCAAACGAGACTGGAACCAGCAACAACCTGAGCACCGACACGGCCACGTTACCGTGTGCCTGTAGATCCTGGCTTCCCCAAACCCAGAGGACAGCAGGAAAACGTGACCCCAGGGCTCCCACTTCTACTGTCATTGGATCATTGCTCCTGCCTGTGCACAGCAGCAGCCACCACAGGGACACACTGCAAAGGGAGAAGAAACGAAGGACGTGTCTCTTGCATGTGGGTTCTGTCCCAGACTGCACCACCCTAAAGCTGGACCAAGGAGTGAACTGAAGCACCCTCAGCAGAACAAGACCCTCGTGCCCAGCAAACACCAGCACCGAGCACCGCGAGCCCCCAGCAGGCAGGTACCGTGCAGCAGATACTCAACGCACAGCGGATGCTCCGTGCTCCTGTCACTACTGAAGGGCAGGAGGTGAAGTGAGAACCAAGATAAAGCAAACCAAACGCTGCCCAGGCATTCCCTGGCCTCCCATTCAGTTACAAGGCGAGAGAACCTTGAAGCAAGAGGAGGAGACAGCCAGGGTCAGGCTGAGCAGGGAAAAGCGGCCACCACAACGGCACCACCTCCTCCATGGGGATGCTCAGACCCACTCCCAAAAACGCCTTCAAAGCGGAGCAGTGATGGAGCTGCGGCTGCCCCAGGGATGCAAACCCCTGGGGACAAGCGGGAGCCACGTCCCTGCCAAGGAAATGGGGTCTTGCTCTGCTCTCTTTGCTCTCGTTACCTGTGCTGAGATGGAACCGAAGGCCTGGCGCAGCTCCGGAGCAGCGGCGTCTACAGAACACATCGGAACCATGGAAGAGCTTGGGTTTGGGTCCTGTGGGAAGAGCCCTGCGGGGCTGGGCCAAGGAACGACCCCTCCATGGTCTCCAGAACTCAGGGCACAGAGGGACGGGTGGGGAGGCTCAGCCGCAGGTCTCCAGCCTCGCTATGGGGTTACCAGCATCACCTCCACACCTGAGCCTCAGATCACTCCTCTCACCCCTTGCTACGCGGAGCTGCTCCACCACAGAGCTGCCTTTCCTCGCTGTACACATCCTCTACGCTACGGAGCTGCTTCCCTGGATGCTCCCTACACCACAGGCAAACCACTGAAGAAAACAGCCAACGTTATTTTACCCCTTTAGGCCTTTATTTGGATAAAATTGGTCAAGCCCACATAAGGCGAGAGAACACCACAGTCAAAACCACCCCCCCGCCCCCCCCTAGTAAAATAAATAACACAAATGAGTACGTAATGTAGTGTTTTGGTTTGCAGTATAGAAATTCCACACAATGATTCTGTTTAAAAAGGTAAAAATGATTTATAATACACAGTTAGAATGTCGTGGTGCCCGCATAGAAAACCGACATGCAATCCATGCCTACACTGCGCCGTAGAAAGAAGATGCAACTAAAAATACAAAGAACAGGAACAACTACAAATTGATTCTGTCTTTTTTTTCTTTTTAAAGGGCTTTTGTGGGGTTATTTTTTTTTTACAAAGGACACAGAACGAACGCTACCTGCGCTTTCACATTGCCATCACAGTGACGGGGGGCCGCTTGGCAGAGGAATAAACGCTGTTGGAATCCCGACATCCCGATGGGATGGGAGCTTCCCGCTTCCTTCATGCACAGAGGGGGTTCCCAGGGCTCACACCAGGATGGACCTCCAGCCTCAAGAGGTGTTTCTACAGAAATCCAAGCTTATAACAAACAAGCGCAGTCCAGAGCTTGGGTTGGAGGGAAGTTTAAAGGGTTCTCTATGTTTTGGGATGCTGAGTTTAGGCAAACTCGGAGGGCAGCTCCTTGTCTAGCTGCAGGTTCACCCACGAGCACCCTTCTGGCTTCACCCCCCGGCCTCAGGCACGCTTCTTTTTATTTAAAGAAACAAAAATCAATTCAATTCAAAATCAGGTCATAAAATGTACAAAGAATGAACAATTCCTTCCTTCTGGAAAGCTTTTCCCCTCTTGAAAAGGGAAACCCCCACCTCTGGGTGCAGGGGCTGCAGGGCCGGCGCTCGCTGCCATGCAGGAGCCATAGCAAGCCGGCGCCAAGCGCGGCACAGCCGTATGTGCAAGGGCAGAGCCCCCTGCAAGCAGCACAAGCTCGGCTTTCCACTTGGGAATCACAGTATTTGATGCACTGAAGGTTTATTCCTGTTATTTCCCCATTGTATTGGCAAATGCAACAGTCTAGCTTGGGAGCTTTGTGATATATATTTCTATCTATAGCTATAAAACCACGTGTTGGGAAGGGGCAGGGTTCACTCAGCAGGTACGTTTGGGCAGTAACCCTTTGAGACACCAGACAGCTTCAACATCGCTTAACTCAAAAAGTTATAAATACTACTCCTTTTTATATATATATATCTATTTCTTTTTTGCTAAGGGATCTTTCTGTTTCTGCTCTCCTCTGTCCCGGGACGGGAAGGGGCAGCCGCTCCCCATGGCTCCATCTGCACGCTGACAATGGAACCAGAGCTATTGAGCCTTCCAAATCAGATTACTCGTTCCAAAAGCACTTGGATCTGCTCCGTGCTTCCAGAGCCACGAGGTGCCACAGCCTCGTAGCTCAGGTTTGCTTCCAAACCAGTACACACACTGAAAAATCAACTCTCCAAGTGCAGCCGTCTGGAACCCGGCTTTTGGGGAGGCAAAACCCAAGAGGTGTTGAAGTTACTGCGCCGGTTCTCAAAGGGTTGGTGCTAGGAGCAGCCTGTGCCTGCTCCCAGGTGGATGGAGCACACTTCCCATGGCTCAGCCCGTCCCGCTCCCAGCGCCCTTCGCCCCTGGATTCCTCTCAACCCGATGGTCCCTAATTTGGACAGTTGCATCCAGACGTGTTAGTTTTTAAATTAAGGCCATTTTCAATGTCTACTTACAAGTCTAATAAACAAGGTCTCTTATGTACACGCGTAGTTTACAAACCAATGAGAAGGTAGCGTTTAGCAACAGCTCCCTGTAATAGTCTCCAGTGAGGAACCTCACCTCCTGCTCGGATGCTTCGCTCCGAAGTGACTCTGGGTTCCAAAACAAAGACACAAACAGATCACGAACGACAATTTCCATGCAGGAGAGGCATTGGAACGCGAGCGCGAGGCGGGGACGCCGCCGAGGAGCGACGGGAGCTGCGGGGAGCGGATCCAACTCACGCTGCGCTTTCCGGCTGTTCCACAGCCGAGGACTCCGAGCCACCCGTGCCCCCGTTATCCCGGTCTTTTAGGGGAGCCTCCTGTTCAAAGCTACCTTTTTGGGTCTCCTTACATTAGAAAGCATTAGCAATCTGAAATAAGCAGACACCAGGAGTTAACATGTACTACCGGGCTTAAATCCTGACGTAACAACCCCAAACGTTTCCAACAGGGATGCAGGAAAACCTTCCAGTCGGATGGGAGGGAACAGAAGAGACACACGTAAGGAAAGAGCTTGAGAGGAAATAAACCCATCTCTTTTAGTGCAAATGGTCAACTGATGGCACGGACATGAGCAAACCCGCACCCAGGTTAGACCCCGGCAGCGCCTCTGCTCAGGACAGTGTCCAACCCCTTTCTGGAAGCACACAGAAACCCAACACAACTCATCAGGAGCAGGCCAGCTCCTCCGCAGACCTTCACCCCTGCCCGCTGGGATTGCTGCAATGAGGGGATGGGTCCTGCTTACAACAAAGAACGGGCACGGCTTTGGACCAAAAAGCAAATCCAGACCCCGAGGGGGTGCGGAACTCCTGTGCCAGGGGGGAACAAACAACCCACAGCTTGTCTGGAGAGGGAAACTCCTTGGGGTGTACGTAACCCAGACTGCTGAGGGTGCTGGCCCCCTCCTGTGCGGGACTGCCGTGCTCTAGCAGGTATCCCCTCACCTCATGGGCAGGGTGTGAGGTGCCATGTGAGCTTCAGTTTGTTAGTTAGACTCAAAGCAACATGAATCCCTCACCTCCTTCAAGAGGAGGGCCCTGTGCCTACAGATTCTGGTCACACTGCAACCAAGCCAACGCTTGCCCAGGCCCCTGGCAATCAGCATTGAGCCCATTGGACCCCTCAGGAGTCTTTAAAGGTGTTTTTCCAATTGGGAACCAGACCTGGGACTCGCCATCAATTCACCCCCCCACCAAGTGACACCCCTGCTGCAGCACCAGGGGGGTTGGCGTTGGGGTTTTACTCTGTCGTGATGCTGCAGCCCAGAGGATGAACAAGGACTAACAGAACTAATCTGCTATGAGCCCAACAGACTCCACCTGCTTGAGGCCACAGCACTGCGGAGCAAGCCAGCTCTTCCCCAGGGTGAGAGAAGGACTAGCCAGGTTCCTGCCACCCTGTTTTGACTATACAACAGGAAAACATCCAGACTCGCCGTAGGCTCCCTTACTTCTGCTCAACATCTGTTTAAAATTCCAGTTAGTTAAAAATACCTATATATATAATATATATATTTCTGGAATAAAAACACAAAAAGATGGACTGTACAAGGATGCTGTAGAGTGCTTCGGTTGGCTGTATGTAGTTTAGCTACTTTCCTAATATCCAAATACTTAAATAAAACAAAACAAAACAAAAAGATCATAAATAATGGTAACAGAATAAGTAATGAATAAGAATAAAAAATAAACCGTAAGAAAGAGTCGTGATTTGAGCCAGGCATCGCTACAGAAATGCCCTTCCTGTTGCCCAGGAATCTCTCACAAAGTAACGTTAGGAACATGCTCTGCGAGTTAGTCTCCTAGATTCTTTTAGCTGCTTTAAAATGCTCTGATCCTTCCTTCATGCTAATCAAGTAATGAGTTATAGTACTTTTGTGTGTGCTCAGAAATGCTCCTTATATATGCATACATATATATAAATATATATATTACATATATATTAAAACCAAAGAAAGCTTTGAAGATAGTGTTGACAGTTGCCTGCTGAGTGGCAAACGGCCGTGGGGCTGCCGGGCTCGGGCCTGCTCGGGGCATGGGGAGAGGAAGAGGAGGGTGACAGCCAGGGACCAACCTGCACCCGCGGGCGCCCTGGCCATGGGGGAGAAGCGTTTCACTCAACCAAGTGGGTGGCACAAAGCAGAGCCAAATCCCTTACAGAGGGTGGCAGCACAGGATCAGTGTGGGGAGAGGGAGGGGGCACACAGCGGCGCTTCCCCCCCTCCCAACAGCTTGGTACGTCAGAAGGAATCGCTTTACCCCTGGCTCTGAGCCTTCCTCGCCTGCCCCCAGCTGCCCCTTTTCTAGTGCAAAGGATAAATGGACAACATAACGCTGGAGCTTCGGTGGGGGAAAAGAAGGGGGGGCTCTGGAGAGGAAACTGCTGATGGAAACTCCTTACTCATTCACAGCAATGAGCGGGTAAGGGGTGAAATACGGCGCGACAGGGAGTAGGGGTCTGCAGCGCTGCAAGCTTAGAACGACAAGCTTTACTCATTGTACATGGTGCACAGGACAGAGCTGCTGCTCTCAGCAGCTCCTGTTCCCACACGACTGACCCGCTGGCCTCTCCAGTTCGGCTGGGCTCCAGGAACAAGCGTCATTCCCACGCTCCTGGTGTCCGCGCTTCACAGCCGGTCCATCCTGAACGTGTCCTCTGTGGCGGGGTCGGTGAGGACCATGTCTGGGTCGTTCAGCATGTGCAGTCCATCCAAGGTTAAAGGGTCAATTTTGAGTTCATCCAGAGGGAACTGGGAATCCGTGTCAAAGCTGACGTCTCCCACTCCTGCCAACGAGCTGGTCAGTTCTTTTGATAAGCTGGGAGGGGATTCTCCTGTCACTGCAGGGAAGAGGAAGAGAAAGGTGTTAGTAGGACTCAGCAAATACACACTGGCCAGGCAGAGGAGTCATAAAGCAGCTTGCAGTGATTCTGGAGCAATTTATCAAACTTAAGGCTGCATTTAAGACCAGAAACAGCTCTCCTCACTGCCAGCCAGAGGAAGCACAGATTGGTCAGAGCAGCTCAGAACCCCTGTAACTACTTAACACAAAGCCAAATCCCTGTACTTGTATCTGGGGGCCACAACACGGTGTCACTCGAGTCTCTTTCCTCCCCCTGAGGTTTAAGAGGAATAACCTCAACTGACACGATTCTAATCAGCAAGAGGCTGCAATCTGGGCTGTTTTCTCAGTGGGCTGTGCAGAATCTGTTTCCAAACGTCCAACGGTGACCAGATCCGCTCCCATATGTGCCACTGACAAAGCCTCCGCTGGCACGCGGCCGGAGCAGCACAGGGAGAAGTTTGGCTTTCCCAGTTTCTCCCTCACTGTGGTGGAGGAGCCAGTAAATTCAGAGGCAGGGAATGTCTGCAGGACAACAAGCCCTGATTGCAGGGATCAAACAGGAGCCACCTGGCACTCGGGGGATAGCCACAAGGTGAAACAACCTTCGAAGGCACCAACACCCTTTTGCTTTCTTGGCTTGAAGCAGGAAGAGAAGCACCAGCACTGGGTGGTTTAGATGTCAGTAAGGCTGTGATTTCCTTGCCTGTAAGAATGATGTTGGGGATGTTTCCATGGCTGGAGTAATTGAGCTGCTGCGAGTCCTGCAGGCTGCCGTGGCTGCCGGTGAGCCCCATCATAGCTGCTTGGGAGTAGTTGAGGGTGGAGCAGGGGCTGTACAGGCTGTTGGAACTAATGGCGTTTTCGATCATATTAAACTGTTCAAGCTGAAGACCAAGGCACAATGGAATTATTACTTGTAACCAGCAAGAAATACAACAAAACAACATACAAAGCTCAAGAAAGGGAAGTAACATTGAAAGAGGCAGGCAAACAAATTCATCTTTAGGTTTCCTTCATCAAAATACAGTCTATTGTCACTGAACTTTCCAGAGTAGTTTACTGCCAAATTCAGAGTGCAGGGGAATGAGGAGAGGGTGGATGCAAAACCAAAACTGTTGCTTTTGATACCAGAAGAACAAAAGAAAAGGTAGCTTGAAAACAAAGGAAAAACCCCAGAATTCATGCTCCTAACTCAGGTATCTGCCCATCAAGTGCTGCCTCTCAGAGGCCAACTTGTTGCTTCCTGCTAATAGATTTCAGAGTTGAATGAATCAAGGCACTGGTCAACCAAATGACTGGAGGCATCAGCTTGTGTGCCCGGTTTTGGCACCAGGCACGAGCTGTTTGCCAAATTCACGAGTAAATATTGTTACCACCTACAAGCAAATCCTTCCCAAATGCAACTATGGCCAAAACCATGTTTTTTGTTTTTTTTTTTCAGGTTTATTTTCATTATTTTTAATCCAATAAACTCAGCAGAACACCCTTAAAAAACATCTATGATGGTGAAGAGGGATGAGGGGGAGGAAAGAGCGTGGGGAGGAAAAGAACGCAACAGAAGGAAAGAAATCCCTGAGTACTGCAAACTAAAAGGAAGGGAAGTCAAACTCTATGGCCAAAATGGGATCTCACAGAAAAGAATCAGAAGTTGATCTATATTTATTTTAAGCTGAAAGTGGCCGAAATATAGCTGAAAATCCGAGATGAATTTGCTCACCTGGTGGGATAGGGCATTAGCCTGCCTAGCTGTCATCTGCTGATCATAATAGGAGTCACCAAATACACTCCCCAGAATGGAAGAATGCTGAAAACAAAACAGAGTCTTTATGGTGCAAAACTCTCACAAACAGGCGTCCCCATGGCGTGGCTCGAGCCGTCCGACCGGTTCTGCTCCAAGTCAGTCAGCAGCACCCTGTGTTGGTGTAACCACCACTGCCCAGCAGCCCTGGAACACCCAGAGGTGCCCCCTGACAGGCAAACCCTTCCATGTCACGCTTGGTAAAGCACAAAGATACAGTCAAGGAGACCAAACAAACTTCCTCATGGAGGACACAGAACACAGAGAACTTGGGGTTTATGGAAACAGACGAGTGTGCCAACACGAGGAATTAAAAACATCACTCCAACGCCAGCTTTTGGGGGGAATTTCTGGCTCTTTGGGTGCAAGACAAACCCCACACAGAATTCAAGTGCATGTTGGAACACAGTGTGAAGCCAAGCTGCTCCCCAGCTCGCTGCCTCTTCAGCAGCCTCGTGCTCAGGGCTTCACCAAGGAGACAATGTGCCAAACCTGACCAGTCACTTTAAAGTCTCTGCACTCCAGCTGCAGTCAGGGGATTGAAGGAGAAAGCCCAGTGAAGGGTGCTGTCAGCAGAGGGAAGGCAGGGATCCTGAGAGGAATTCCTCAGCATTGCTAATTGGGCTGTCCCCTCTAGCACTACGAGCATCTATCAGTTATTCTCCATCACAGAATCCCAGCCTGGTCTGGGTTGGAAGGGACCTTAAAGCTCATCCAATCCCAATCCCTGCCACGGGCAGGGACCCCCTCCCACTGGAGCAGCTTGCTCCAAGCCCCTGTGTCCAACCTGGCCTTGAGCACTGCCAGGGATGGGGCAGCCACAGCTTCTCTGGGCACCCTGTGCCAGCGCCTCAGCACCCTCACAGGGAAGAGCTTCTGCTTTATATCTAACCCGAACCTCCACTGTTTCAATTTAAACCCATCACCCCTTGTCCTATCACTACAGTCCCTGATGAAGGTCCCTCTCCAGCATCCTTGTAGGCCCCAATCACGAAGAGAGCCCTACTTTCTTAGAGCTTACTGACAAAGAGCATCTATAAAAGGTGGTATCTAAAAAAGACCAGTTTCATCCAGAGCTTGTACCTATCTTGAAAAAATAAAATCAACCCCTTGCACAGCATCTTCCAACTGCTTTATCTACACGTGAAGAGAAAGGCTCCAAACTTTCCCCTTAAAAACCTAAGCAGCCTAGGGAATTAAGCAAAAGCCTAGGAAATATCAGAACAGCCAGACCAGCCACCACAGTTAAAGCTGAATGCAGCCAAAGCTACCCAAAACCCCACTGGACGATGCTCACAACAGTGGACATGTAAATCTGAGCCAACATCCCACCTGAAGCCTCCTCCCTCCTCCATCAGCAGCGTGTCTCAGTGCAGCAGATTTGCAGGTTGCATGCAAGGAAAAAGATGGAATAACCCCCCCTGAGTTGTTCACAACCTTGTTGTGACTCTCAGAAAGGAGCAGCAATACCTTCTTTCAAAGCAAACCAACCCACCAGAAGAGGGGAAACAGGAACCTTACAGACCTCCATGGTGCTCAGGTTCCTAGTTAGTCACTGGCAAAGGCAGAAACAGCAGCAGACAACTGCCTCCAAGTCCCCATCAGAGCTCCCTGGCAGCTTCTCAGTAAGAAATGGTTTAACTACATGAAGCCAGCTCATCCTTAAGACTGGTTAAAGCCAAGAATAGGGTTTTATGGACAAAAATAAGCTTATGATTGCCTTTCCTGTGCATTTGTGATCTGTCACAGCTGTGAGCACAGAACAATGACAGTGTCTTTGCAGCTTTACCCCCCACCCCATGCCCTCCTTAGAAGCAGGTAAAAATGGGAAATGGTTCTAACTGGGACCAGTCTTCCAGTTTACCACCTGGTCCTCAAAGCTGTGGTGGCTGCTCTATCCCTTGTGTGAGACAGGGCTACCTGGAAGTTACAAACATCACAAGCAGGAGCCACGTTGGACCTCATGAGAGAAAATGCAAAGCACTATTTACATTCACAAAGAACCACACTGAACCACAGAGTGCTTTGTGTTGGAAAGAACCTTACAGCTCCTCCAGCTCCAACCCCTGCCACGGGCAGGGACCCCTTCCACTGGAGCAGCTCCAAGCCCGTGTGTCCAACCTGGCCTTGAGCACTGCCAGGGATGGGGCAGCCACAGCTTCCTCGCTGTTCAAACTCTACATCTGCTACAAGTGCTCCTGCCTTCCAAAGGGAATGGAGTCAAGAGCCTGGGGCAACCTGAAGATGAGGATGAGCCAAGCTGAACTCTGCTGTGGGAAAGCCATCCCTATCTCATGTGGCAGCTGTGGCTCCAGAGCTGTGTCTTGCTTAATAACGAATTCCTAATCAACATGTGCTTCGGGATGTCACGTACCCAACGTGAAGCAAAGCCAGTTTGGACCAGCACTAGAAACACAATTCTGTCAAGAGCTCCAAAGAGGATCAAGGGGTTTTATTTCTCCCTGCACTCCACTGAGCACCATCCCCAAACTAGAAAGTCCAAAAAATAACAAACAGGAGACCAAAATCTCTGTGCAAGTCCACGTTAGCAACTCCTACCAAAACACTCAAGCTCTGGTTCACTCCCCAGCTCTGAAGTACACCGGGTATTACATCTGCAAGCACTAAACCTCCCAGAGGAAATCAACTGGAAATGTCATTACTTCAACACTTCGGAGGCCCGGAATAATTTATCGACAACCCTGTGAAAAACATCTTGCTACCACCAGCTCCTCCAGACACGCTGGGTGAGGTCTGTTTTGTCAACAGTACATCTTCTTGGGTTAATGATGTGGTGACTGCAAGGGAAAGAAACAAACCCCAAATCGCAAACCCCCTATTAATCTAAAAATACATACCATAATATCCAGTATGCAGCCATCCTACTAAACAAAGCAGATTCCAGCTAATTGGAACAGTCTGCTAGGTGTTAGAGAGGAGCAACGTAGCAATAAACAAGGCATTGTCAATGGAAAGCCATGCAAACACAGAGCTGGGAGCTACGAGCAGAGCTTTTCAATCCATGTTTGAACAGGGAGCCCCTGGAGAATACACACACATGGGGGACACAAGCCAATCCATCTGGAGAGGTGGAGAAATGGGAAATTCACTTGTGGTGAATGAACCAGAGGGGAGAAGAAAACTGAATCACAGGTTGCTGTTTTCAGAGCGTGTCACTCACGTCACTGACAGGCTCAGGATGGTTTCACCCAGAGTTAACCCAGGCAGAGGAGCGAGTGGGGATGCCCACCTGGTCACACCTCCTTCAATCCACTCTCATCAGCCAGGGCCACGCTGCTCCTCAGTGGGCACGTTCTGTAGTTGGACCCACTCAGCCTTTCCTCTACAGATCACCCTAGCGCTGATGGATGCTGCTGTCTGGGAGCTGCCCCCACCACCTCAACCAACCCAAACTGTTCTCCAGAACTGGTTTCTTAGTTCCCCCATTGCTTCTCTCCAAGCTTCATTTTTGCAACGACCACGAGAGGCAGCTCCTGGGTTACTGATGGAGGCATGGCTTTTAATTCAGCAAGCATGAAGGATTCTGTGGTTGTTTGGAAAAGGCCAATACTAAAGTAAGTGGTATTGATAAACCCTCTTCCTTTCACTAAGAGCTACCATGCCTTGCTGGAAACAGCTCCTAAGCAGGAGCTGACAGGATGAACTAGAGCCACTGTGTGCTCCACTGGGGAGTGCTGGCTGTGCTTTGGCCTGACCAGTGGCAACAAGTCTGTGGACAAAACCAAGAGCATTTTATTGAGAAGCCAAGGGGGGAAGAAAATCAACACAAAAATCAACAGTGGGGGCACTGCCTGAGAACCTGCAGCAGGAGTGGCAACAGCTCTGCTCTATGGGACAGCCTCGAGGAGCGACTTTGCTTGTTTCCTCTGGGGCACAGCCAGAACAGCAGAACTCACAGAAGCAGCAGAAGAGAGAGAAGTTAAGAAGCAATTCAGCAGGGGTTAAGAAAATCCAGACTGTCCTGGCACTCGGCTCTGTTGCTGAGCTTACCAGTGACCTGTCTCTGGCTAATGGCAAGGAGAGACAAACCTTCTGCTTTGGAACCATGAAGGGGTAGCACTTATTTAGACAGGATCCTCCTTGCAGCCTTAAATGTTAAATAATGAAACAGAAAACGTATTTTCAGACTCTGCTGTGATGCTCTGGAAGAACTTCCTCCATCTTCTTTCTACAGGAGGGATCTAGGAAAAGGGCAGCCCTGTGGAGCTACTGGAGCAGCACCAGCTTATTCCTGTGCTGAAATACCCTCACTTCCTCACACTGGGGCACCCCCAAAGACTTGCTCAACTGCCTTGCTGCTGGCAGGTAAAAATTCCCCTTCCACACACCCCAAGCTATGACTTGCATATAGGCCACATGGATGTAGAAGAATATACATTCAGAGGGGGAAAAACCAGCCAGCATGCAAGAGAGCGTGTTCAGAACCCATTCCTTGCAAGCCACAACACACAGCTGCTAATTTTAAAAGCATTTTCTCCAGTGGTTTCTTTCCAAGTGTATGTTCCCATGTAAAATAAAAGGTCCTGATGGAAACACGTTTGGCCACACAGGGGATACTCAGCCACAGGAGTTTCCCTGCTGCAGGAAGCACTTACATCTCCCTCTCTCTCCCCCCCTTGCCTTGTCCACCAGCTCTACCTGGTACTGCTGACTGAAGGGCTCTACCTGGAGGCTCTGTCCATGATGCACCCCAGAGAAAGAACCGAGTTTAAAGAGTGCTCAAATCGTAGCTTTGATCAATCACCAGCTATTGAAAAACTCTGAACTGAATGAAACTGCAAACAAGATGAGACATTGGTAATGCATGAGGCACACACAGGTACAGTGAGACAACTATGGGTCAGTAATGGAGAGACTCAACTCAAACAAACACAAGAAGCAAGGCCTGTGGAAGCACAGAGTCCCTTACTTGAGGGGAGCTGCCAGGAGAGAAGCCTTGATTGGAGACAGGAGAGGTGGGAGACTGGTTGGCTGGGGATCCAGCATTACTGCGGTACTGCTGGAGTGAAGCCTACAGAACAACACAGAATTAAAGACCATGGGATTGATGGAAGCTTGGAAAATTAACAACTTTTGGCATAGAGAGCTCGAGGAAGCTGGGAGAAACCATCCTCTGGAGGAGTTCTTGGCTATGTGTGAAGACAGGATTACTGTGAGTGATGCAGAGGCAGGGGATCAGCGTGGCAGGGCCTGGCTGGAGCAGGGAGTGCTGCTGCATGAGCAGAACTGATGGAGTATTTCCTCCCTGGCCTCAGTTATCCTTAATTTTAAAAAAATCCCAATCTGGGCAGCCAATTTAAGGAAATTTAAGGAAAAGAAGCCCTGAAAGCTGGGAATAACTCAAAAATCCTGTCATTTATTCTCCAATTCATCTGCCATAACCACACATCCCTGACCTGTGCTTAGATCTCGGGAAGCCCTTCTCCTATTCCTCTGCCTGCTCTCAAAGAGCCTCATCAAAATGAAAGTTACATCCATGCAGACTGGAATCCTCAAAGCTGCCTTTTACCCCAGGACACGGAGCAGACACTGTCTGAGAATCTCCACTCCATTCTGCAGCTTTGTATTAGTGACATTTACATTGTTCTCTGTCATCCTGAGAACACATTTGCAAGGATTTACCTTTTTTGGGGTCATAAAGAACCCAGGTTTGAACAAATTAATCATCTTCATGGCATTTAAATAGGAAGTTGCAGTAATTAAAGAGTAAGTGCAGCTCTTCTCATCACACCTCCTTCAGAAATTAACATGATTGAGGAGAACCTGCAATCCAATAGCTGTAAGCAAAGGAGTACTTTAACCACGAGAACACTGTACTACTGATGCTTCCTGACACCAAATTCTGTGAAGCTCATGAAAATACATCTGACCCTTTCTGCTACGTGTTGCTACTCACACACTTTAAGCAGTGAGTAACCAAACTACAGCAAAAGGAACTTCAGTATCACTCCACAAAAATTGCACTGAAGTTGTCAGCAAGACCATAGCACAGCTCCAATGGCTTTCTGGATAAACCAGCTTCAAACTTCAGTTTATTTACAAATTATTTCAGTTGCTTGGAAAGATAAGCAAAGCACCTTAAAAGTTAAGGCCACAAAGAAGTTTAGGATGAGGAAAGCAACACAGAAAGCAAAGAATGAATCAGAATCATCTCTAGCTACGTGAGTATTAGAATCAAAGCACTGGGGCACATTCTGAGCAGGCTGGTATCCTTTCCACTGCTGGATTTGTCCTCCCCTCTTCCCCTTTCAGTCCTGAAAGGGAAGCAGCTTCCTTCAAGAACCACTTATCAGCACTCAGCCACAAATTAAATCCCTGATCAAGTGCTAGATCAATAGGCAATGATTTCTTCTCACCCTCAAGCCAGTTACTGTCACTATGACACTGGCAGAAGGACACAACAGGTCAGACCACTGAGATCCTACCTAGTGGGGTGGAATGAGCAGAGAACAAGCTGTGAAACCCTTCCCTTGCTCCCTGGGTCTCTGCAGTTTGGATTTGCAGGTGCTGAGACAGAACATTCTGTAACAGACCATGTTAAAACAAGCAAGAAATGTGTCTGTAAATGCCCAGGGGCTGTACGCACACACTCCAGTTCTCCTGAGCATCTGAAGGCAGACACATACCCAGGTTTTGGATAATAATGTATGCTCTAAATTCCTTAAAATCAGAGTTCTAAATGTAGAAAATAGAGAAAATACCTGGCTCTCTCCAACTCTGGAAAAATGCTTGTTAGCACTTTGCTTTCTTTACTCTTAGCTATCACTCCTTCAGCTTACTGCACACTGTGGAGCCTACATGATGCTGGGGGCACATTACGTTTAACACCCTGGAATGTATCAAGGCAGCAGCAGCAGGAAGGTATGAAACCAATGCTGACCTATTTAATCTGCTCTAATCAAACACGGACACCATTCTACGAACATCTGGCCACCTTAAGCACACATTAAACCCAAGTTTCTCTCTGTAAAACATTAAAATGTGGATTGAACCAAACCCATTTTAAGTCTACCTCATTCTCTGCCTCAAAGGACAGTTATGGAAGGGTCTGCCCAGCCGGATCTCTGGCTCTAGGCTGTACACTGTTGGGTTTCCCACATGAAAGCTGTGTTGGGTGAAGTGTTCTGGGATGCAGCCAAGCTTACCGAGTTGATGTCTATTCCCATGGATGGCTGGGTCTGGCTACCCGGAGGTGACTGTGGGATGGTAGAAGGTACCGTGACAGAGAGCGGGGGGAGCTGTGCTCCTCGCTGTAAGCCAGAGGTCTGCATTAAAGGAGTGTTCTGAGGCAGGGTACTTGCCACCTGCGTCTGCTGCTGTTGCTGGGAAGTTGTCTGGGTAAAAAATGGATATGGGGGAAGCTGCTGCTCCAGAGACAATGCATCCATAGCCACGGCCTTGAAAAGAAGAACCAAAGTCATCCACGCTGACACATAATTCCCCTTCCCTTTCATGCACATCAACTTTCACTCTAAGAGAAATGCACTAAATCAGTCTCATCTTGCGTTTAAAAAATGTTACCTAAAGGTTCAGAAACAGTCCAGAACATAGAATCATAGAATAGTTAGGGTTGGAAAGGACCTTAAGATCATCAAGTTCCAACCCCCCTGCCATGAGCAGGGACACCTCACTCTAAACCATATTACCCAAGGCCTCGTCCAACCTGGCCTTGAACACTGCCAGGGATGAAGCATTCACAACCTTCCTGGGCAACCCATTCCAGTGCCTCACCACCCTAACAGGAAAGAATTTCCTCCTTAGATCCAATCTAAACTTCCCCTGTTTCAGTTTTAACCCATTACCCCTTGTCCTATCACTCCAGTCCCTAATGAAGAGTCCTCCCCCAGTATCCCTATAGTCCCCCTTCAGATACTGGAAGGCTGCTATGAGGTCTCCACGCAGCCTTCTCTTCTCCAGGCTGAACAGCCCCAACTTTCTCAGCCGATCTTCATATGGGAAAAGCCTTCAGATCACCTCCAGTGTACAATAAACAAATTCAACTATGCTCACAGCCCAGCTGAATGTGCAGGTCAGAAACTGATAATCCCATCACTCACAGAGTCACACTCAGGAAATCAGTTTCAAAAGCCATTTGAGCTTCACTCATGAATTAGAGAAATGTCTTTCAAAACCTCACCACTAACTTTGGGACAGTCACAGTAAAGTGTCCCAAGAGATGGTTTTTGCCACAGTTCTCAAAAGCAAAAGCAAAATCTGTCCCCTCTCCAAACCTCCCCCTTTGTAAGGTTCTGAATTAATGAACACACGATGAAGATGACAGAACAAGAGGAAGTTCCAGCCTTAGAGCCAGCTCCCCCCTGGGTACAGTAACACAACCAACCTGTGCTTGGAAACATGGAATTCTCCAAGTCAGTTCCTACCTGAGTAATGGGTGACAGAGGGGACAGCGTAGGAGACATCTGCTGCGACTGCGGCCGCCGGGAGTCGGCGCTCAGGGAGAGGGGGCTGACAGCAGCCGGGCGGTGCTGGGGGGCCGGAGCCGGCGGTGACATTCCTGCCAGGAAGGGACAGGAACAGAGCAATGGGTTAGTGACACCTGCATGGAGGTAATCCCAAAGTGATGAGAAGTGAACGGCCCCAGTAGGCAAGGCGCTGGATGCACCTCGGCCAGTGGGGCCGGAACACATTAGCTCATTGCAATTGATTCTGTCAGGCTGAAGAGCATCGGGATGAGGGGAAGATCCCTGTGGTTTACCCTGGACCCAAACCAGTCACTGTTGTTCAGGTTCACGCACAAACACTGGCTTGAAATGGCAATAGAGCAGCTTCGGTGGTTTACAGAATCCATCAGGATTGCTCTCCCACGCCTCCCGGGCTGCAGGCACTGATTCCAGGAAAAGCACCCTCTGCTCTATTTGTAAGGGCTCCAACTTGAGGAAGAAGGTAACAGATCGCATAACAAGACTAATCAGAGGGCACTTGAGAGATCCTAAAGGCAAACACCTCTTTAATGGAAAAAGCAGCAGAAAAACTGGTTACACAGGAAGTACTCCATCCTCAGTGCACAGGAAGGCAGGAAATATCCTTCACACCCCAAAGAGCCACGACCTGGCAGGAGGTAGGGATCAACAACTCAAGTGGTGTAACGTTTAAATTCCAGACCAAAATGTGCAAGCTCTGAAACCTCCCCTCTTTTCTGCCTCACCCCGAAGGAACCGAGACACCCTGGAAAGGGATTTCAGGCCAATCCAGCGAGCGAGCTGCTCCTCTGGAGCTGCCAGGAAGCAGGAATTCACAAGAGCCTGTGAGCTCCCAGGCACTTGGCAAACGTTCTGGGCTTCCAGGCAGGCTGCCAGGGAGCCAGGAAGCCCGGGCTGCCAAGGAGCCAGCAGGCAAACTGGCTCGAGCGGAGCGGATCCGGCAGGCTGCCTCCCTGCCATGTTTCCAAACCCAACCTGGCCCCACGGAACACGGCAGTGAACTGACAAGCTCAAAGGCACAAACGTGCTCCCAAAGGTCTTGGTAACCTCACAGGAGTTTGGTTCCCCAACTCCTCCTGGGGCAGGGCTGGGCAATGCACCCAGCTCCTGCAGAAGGTCCCAAAGCCTTTGTGTTCTCTGCTAAAGAGCTACAAATAAGAGAGGCGAGGAAGGTCTGAAAAAAATCAGTTTGAAAAGCCCCAGACACTGACTATGCCAATGATTAAACTATGGGATGGTCTCCAAAGAGGCACAGGAAAATCATCAATGAGTGGAGCTTTTTCATTTGTGATGCTTTGATAGATGTGGCAATGTTTTCAAGGCAATTATACACTTCCCAGGTCGGGTTTGAACCATTTACTCTGCTAATTATGGGCATGGCGAAACATTCAGCAACCCAGCCTGGCCTGACTCCATGCAAGTAGCTTGTTTCTTTTTACACACACTATAGCTCTGCCCAAGCGTTGCTTTTGAGCCCAGAACGCTTGGTAAGGGATGCTTAGAGCTGCTGTCTGGCTCCGTACGCAAATGGTTAAACCATCCTCTTGCTTCATGCTCAAGTACAACTGCTCAGTCAGAACCTGATGAGAATTATTTCCTTTTCCCAACATATGAGAGGGTTTATAAGTGGGTAAGGGAATCCTGCCTAACACAGGAAATCCACTTGTATTTTTGGATACAACGCCTCATTTCTAATCTAGGAATGATGCAACTGCCACTGACAATAACAATCCAGAGCCCTCAAGATCCAGTGCAATCCTTTAAGAAATCACAATCCCCAGTGGAGGCTATTTGCATGTAAAGTCCTGAAATGATCAGGAGATCAGGCTGAACTTGACAGACTTCAGTTTTAACACAGAGGCTCCTTCACTGAGAGCTGTGAGAGGTTAAGGGGTGCACTTGGCATTACTTCCCAAAGCCCCCCTGTATTATGCAGCCTGAATATTCAGGGTCTTTTCCAAACTTAAGCAGTCTAGCTTACAAAAACTAGCACACCTTGTGAAGGCTCCATGTTACTCCTGATTGCTCAGACAGGAAACTGGAGTCAACTGAAGCCAGCAATGTTCTCTCTCTAAAAGAATCCTCACATGGGGATGGAAACAAAAGGCCTACTCAAGACACTGCCATAAGATGAAGGCTGTGGGGGTTAAGGGCAGTGAATTACAAGAGAGGCTGCTTTGGGTTCTAGTGTCTGCTCTAAGTCTTATACATAAACTAGACAAAACCCAAACAAAAAAGCAGACTTGGGCACCAAGAACATGAGAAAAATCAAAGACAATTTGTAAGTCACATAATCAAAATGCAGCTTTTGCACTAACCTTAGAGCAGCTCCAGTCCCTAAAGGGGCTGCAGGAAACCTGGAGAGGGGCTAGGGACAAGGGATGTAGGGACAGGCCAAGGGGAATGGCTTGAACCTGCCCGAGGGGAGACTGAGCTGAGCTCTGAGGCAGAAGCTCTTCCCTGTGAGGGTGCTGAGGCGCTGGCACAGGGTGCCCAGAGAAGCTGTGGCTGCCCCATCCCTGGCAGTGCTCAAGGCCAGGTTGGACACAGGGGCTTGGAGCAAGCTGCTCCAGTGGAAGGGGTCCCTGCCTGTGGCAGGGGTTGGAGCTGGATGAGCTTTAAGGTCCCTTCCAACCCAAGCCATGCCATGATTCTATGATGATGGACAATGTGCAGAAGTGCCCCAGAGTTCCGCTCTTACCCTGACTGGCCGTGCTGATGCCCAAGTGAGTCAGATTGGCAGCAAGATTTCCGGTGCTATTGGAGCTACTCAGGGCTGGGAATGTGGATTCCTCAGGATCTAACGGTGTTGGGAGAGGGGAAGGGAAATGGATGTTTGTCAGGTCTGGCAGGGAGCCACCTGTGTTATGCGTAGCAGGAATCAGTGTTGTAGTGTTTTCCTGGTCAGCTGATGGAAAGATGCTAAATAAGGGAGAGAGAAAGAGAAAACAGGTCTCTGATTACAAGTCAGCTGGGACAAATCTTGTACAGTCTGTTTTGAAAAAGGAAGGTGGCACATACAAACTGCATATTGTACTATTTGTTATATTATCTATTGTAGTGCATAGCCAGAGATTTAGGATCCAAGGGGTCACTCATAGAGGCTCTGGCTTGTCTCGCATCTATTGCTCTTACACCATCTAAGGGCTTTTCAGAAAGCTCAGAAGCAGGAGGACATCCCACACACAACATCCTTCCTTAGAGATTTCAATGCTCTTTAGAAAAAAGAAATTGCTCAAAACTTACTTGATTCCTGGAACTTCACATGATTTAGGTCTCGATGACCCAGTCTAAAATAGAAGGAAGACACGTTTAAAGGCAAAGATCCTGCTGGAAATCAATGCTTAGGCTATACTCCAATTAGGAAGTTTTATTTAATACATTTGTACACAAGAGCTCTGTGAAACTCTTGGAAGAGACTTGTCACCTTTTCTACTTTACTGGCCCAACACAGCTCAAATGTAGAGTTTCTCCTGGTATCATCAAGCATGTGCACACACACATACACATAAAGTGCCTTTCTGAGCTAATGTTTAGTGACTTATTTCCAAATACAGCATTTAATCTCTAATCTCCGTAAGTACTTTGTTTCGGTTAACAATATTTAGAGCATTCATTGAACTAAATACAGTTAGAAAACAAAATGGGTACACTTTGGCATGGGAGATTCCTACCTTTTTAGTGTCCCATCCTTGCTTAGAGAGGGTTTTGTCTGCCTCAGAGGGGGTCTCCTCCATTCCAGGGACAGTCAGTAATAAAACTAAAGAATAAGACCAACAGGGATTGCGTCATATTAAGCTTCTCAGGAAGAAATGTTCAGGTTGGAAGTTTTAACCATTTGAGAATTCTGAAGTAACTTATCAGCACTGAATGTGAAAGAGTGGCACTGTTGGGAGATCAGAACTGAAAATAGGAACATCAGAAGAGACTAAAGTTGTATTTAACCAGCAAGGAGACATCAAAGGCTTCAAAATACAACAAAGCAAATAACACTTCAAAAATGTTGGCCTCCAATTTAGTCTCTAAATGGAAGGGGGTGTCTCAGAACCTAGTTTTTCCTGTCTTTTGCATTTTGCCAAGTGATGTACACCTGATGTTTAATGGGTGGCCAACAGGACAAATTCCAATGGGGAAAAATCTGGACCATCTTCCATAGGATAGAGAAATGCTATAAAGCTGTTCCTTCTCCATATTCATAGAATAGGAGTTTGTTCACAGCAAGCAACTGTTTCATCATGCTAATAGCAAGATGACACAGAAACAGCAAAAGAAAGCCCAGTCAGAGAGATGCATCACCAGAAGCCTTTAAGAGTGATGACTCTAAATCCATATTTACACAAGACTGCTTAAGGTGATCACTATTTAATGTTTTACAGCTCTGGAAGCACATGGAAGGGCTGCAGTACAGCTCAGACGCACCTGAGTGTTGGGTGTTCACCCAGCTCTGGGTGATTGTTTAAGGATTAAATTTCTCTGGGCAGATTTAAGAGCTTTGCATGTTTTTTCTTGTGCTGACAGCAGGAATAAGGGCCAGCAGAGGGCACCCGAATTGTTAGTGCTGGAGGGTTGAGCTGCTCCAGCTCCTAAGTCCAAATGGGATCAGAGGACTGGCTGCAAGCATCGCCTCTGAGGGTGTATTCACTGATCACAATCCCAGAATAACAACTAGATGAAGTCTTGCTACTTCATGATATTTACCCCTGACCACGAAACCCCTGTGACCTCTACACTTTGTCAAGAAGTCACTCCAAACTGCAAACCTCTAGTACCGCCGGCAGCAGCCTCACCACCGGGGTCCCACAGCTCACATTACTTATCCCCACGGGGCAAGGTCTTGGAATCACAGAATAAAGGGTTCAGGAAAATGTTCTGCCTTAGCTTTGCATGATCATTTCTGGATCTCAGTACTCAGAAGAGTAAATGTGGCTCTTTGCTCCAGTTCTTGTGTATCTGAATCTAGAAGGCATTACACATACGTGTCTTGACAGGAACAGGTGAACAGCAACACGTGTGCATGCAATCTGAAGTACAATGCTCTGCAAGCTACAGCTGTTTCCTCTCTTTACCTCTTTTCTGCTGTATGTCCTGTGACCCTCCTGTGAAGGACTCTTGCTGAGCTGGAGTCATAGTGCTCTGGTGCAAGGCAGAATCGGAATTTGTCCTGGAAAGAAGGCCAGAAAAATGAATTTTTATTGTCTCAGATTCATTTATTCAGATAAATGTAACCAACTCAGGAAAACCTGAACACTCTGCATTAAAAAACCCTACTCTATACATGGCACACACCAAGCACAATTTCCCCACGAAACCACCAATTCACAGAACAAATTCATTCAGGTTTGAAGAGCAATTGCTTCAACAATGGGATGGAGATTATCCACCACAGGATAAAGTGGTGGCTGTCACTACAGAATTATTTGATAAGCTTTGTTAAGATAATGCACGATCAAATAATGCAATTCTGAAGCTGAAAACTGCTTAGAAATACTTTGGTTATACCAGTCTTTGAAAAGAAAACATCCCTGTTTCACAAGGAGGGGAAATGACTCAAACTCGAAGGCTTGCAAGGGCAGACTAACCCAGCTTCTGCGCAGGCAGAAACACCCAGGTCTTTGACAGCTCAATTTTGGGGTATGCCCTGGAACACCCAGCAAGATTTGCCTTTGCAAAGATGCCATTAGCTGAAACAGCTTCATTTGAAAGGCAGGGCATCTAAAACATTAAGCATAATAGGAGAAAAAAACTAATTCTAAATTCAGGAAGGCAAATTTAGGTGGCAAAATGCTGTGGGGAGCAACCAAGGCTTCTGTTGGACGTGATAGTGTTGTGGGATCAGGGAACACAGACAATTGGGCTACCAACCTTCTCCAGCTTGTGTCTGAGGGAGGTGACAGATACACAGTGCCATACGGACAGCTGTCCACGTGACTCCAGCAGTTAAGGGAAGAACAGCACTTGCTCACTCAAGGAGGAAGCCTATTTGAGATCTTTCCCTGAGGAATAATTCAAATGACCCTGTCAGAACCACTGCGCTCCCATGGGAAAGGCAAGCAGCCTCCTTACGGGGAGCAACCTGACTTTAAAAGGACACTCAAAACAAAGCACTATCTGGACTGCCGTAATGCCTGAGCCACAGGTCAAGCTGTGCCAGCACCTCAGCACCCACAGGGAAGAACTTCTGCCTAAGATCTCATCTCGGTCTCTCTGATGGAAGATTAAAGCCATTCCCCCTTGTCCTGTCCCTACAGGCCCTTGTCAAAACCTTGTAACCCTGTTGTAGAAGGCAACTAAATCTGTCGGGCACAATTTGCCCTTAGTGAAGCTATGCTGGCTGTCAGCAATCACCCCAAGGATCTCAGTCCCTCTCAGCTTTGTGTGTATCCCCACTCAGAGCTGAGGAAACTGAGAAAGTAAGTGCTTACTTCATAGAGTAGCACGTATTTACAGGCTAGATCACAGCTCAGCAAAAGCAGATGACATTAACTGAGATGGGAAGCAACTCTGCTGACAGGTGAGGAGGGAGGAAGAAGGGAACTGTAAGAAGTGGGAAGTGATGCTGTGGAAAGGGCGGGTGTCCCCACCAGCTCCTGAGCCAAAGGATATTTGTCTTCCATGTTTATCCACGGAGAGCGGGCGGCGATGCGGGGAGCCGAGGCGGTTTCTGTCACGATACACTCTGTCCACCAGCCCGTGGTGCCGAGTTGTTCTGCTCGTGTCCAGCCCCGAGGACTGAAAAGGAGTCTGAGAGACACAAATGAAATTAGAAGCAGAAAACCACAGGCAGGAGCAGTCTGCCCAGCCCCCAGTCATCTGTATGCAAGGCTGTGTTATTCTAAGGAATGAAACTCAAAAAGGATATGGGCAGTGTAACCGTGTACATGTTTCCTTCACTATCACTTTCATAATAGCCATGGAAAGCAATTACTAAGGCTCTCTCTTCCAGACAGGGATCAGAGACAAGTGGAGGCAGACCATGCTAGACCTGCCCTGGCACACATCAGCGCTGCTCTCCAGCCTTTGTAGCTCTGCAATACCACCGTGAGCATGGCAGGAGCCTCCTGATAACTGCTGGGTCCATTCCCTCGGTGCAGCATGCAGCATGCATCCAGAAGGAACATGCTGACAACCAGAGCTTCAACTCCAAGGGCAGGAGATGCAGGAAGGAGATGCACAGTGAGCCTAACGTTCACCAGAACACGCCACGTTCTCTCAGAGCCTCCTTTCACCCCTCCTCTCAGTGTGATTGTTTTAAGGGGACACTGATAGAATTAAGAGAAAAGCAGTTTCCTTCCTCCTCTGTCTAGAAAAAGTTAGAGCATCCAGTAAGTGATTTTCATCTCGCTCAGGCTGCACCTGGGTGGGTTGATTCCACTTTGAGCCCTGTCACTGCCATTATCTGGAGAGCATTCACTTGTCAGTAAGTGAATGCAGAGCATGAGGACGGCAGAGGAGGGACAGGGAAGATGAATTCCCAGGCAAAACTGGAAAACTCCTGTGTTTTCAAAAGCCCTTCCCAGTGAATACCTGTGGGGCAGGAAAGGAAGTACCAAATGGTCCCACTCCAACAGCAATATATGGGTCTCTGGGGGAAAAAAGGCTCCACAGCCTTCCAGTGATTGCCAATGTGAACAGCTTTGCTGAGTCCCTCAACACCATCTGTTTGGAAAGCCAAATTTTCCTCCTCCATTCAGGTGCTGCACGTGGCAAATGCACTGTCCTGTCTGCCAAGCCACAGAACCATCTGGCTCCCATGTCAAGCTTTTGTCTCTGCTGCTTTTCTTCTCTCCCAAGTGTCCGGTTTGGGCTGTTTCACTGAGGATTTCTAACAAGTTTCACAGTTCTTTTTCAGTGTTTGGTTTGTAAGAACTTTCTAAAGTCCTTCTACTATTTAAAACTCTTCTCTAGTCAGCAAATATTAGTCTCCTCTCCCTCTAGGCACACACAACCTGGGTTAATACCAACGGATGCAAAGAGGCTGCGGTGTTTATTTGCTCGTTTCAGGGCCAACACTTTATATGCAGCAGAATATTGCTTAAGTCAACATGGGGCTAGGAAGGGAGCACAGTGACTTTTTACTGTTCTCTCAGCCATTAAGATCACGGTGTTTTGCTCCAGTTCCTTAGCAAGTCTGACTTCCTTCTCTGCTGACTTAGAAACCTCAAGTCCCAGCATCTCAGTTTTAAGTCACTTAAATTAAAACATCTTGGTTTAATCTCTGCTGCAAACACTGAACAACAATCTGGTTCTACCTAACTGGCACCACACAGAGCTGGGTGTATTTGTAGCTCCAAAGCAACAATAAAAGGTCTCAAACTCTTCCTTGTCCTGTTGTTGCATCAATTCTACCCCAAAAGGCAGCAAAATCTGCAAACACACGCGTGCTTGGAAGGTCAACAGGAAAAGCAATTTCCTCTGCCAGTGGTCTCAACCACAGCGTTGCTAAAAAGGGAGAAGCCAGTTTGGAGCATACAGAATGCAGAGCTCACCTGGAATTTCAAAGGAAGCCAATGCATGGGAGTGTACAGACAAAGAGCTGAATGCAAACACTTAAGTTTCCGCTGGTTTTGGTACCATTTCTGTATTAAAGCCACAACAAAAATCCAATGTGAGTGCAACACAGGCACAAGTAAACAGGGACCGAGCCCCATCACACGGCAACAACTTCCAGAGCAAGGAATTTGGGGGTGATGCTGTTCTCTGGCTTCCCAGGACCAAAGATCCCAAGTGAATCCTTGACTTGCTCATGGAAATCAGAAAAGAACGAACACTTGAGACAATGGCAATCACCTCCAGCAGCCATCCCAGGAAACCTCCTCTGGAGCAGAGACCAGGCAATGCACCTTCACTGCAATCCCCATCCCCACAGGGCACCTGGTACTTCACTAGAGTAAAAAGCTGTGATTTTGAAAGCAGAGCAGATCTGAGCATGGATTTGGATGCTCAGGGTCTTTATTTGGAAAATTAAGAATTTGGCCTGTGTCACGTCCCTGAGAGACATTCAAGGATTTGAGATCAGAACTAAAACTCCACAAAACACTGAAAAATAAGAGAAAAAGACAGACAGGAAGGAAAAAGCTCTAAAGCAACAGTGTCCCTTTAAGATTTATCAAGACATTTACTTCCGAAGTAAAAATGAGTGAGGTGGCTGAGGGGGAAGGAGGGGGAGTGGTACCCGCTGCCAGTTCACATCTCAGTGCCTCCTGGTGACAAGCAGCATTGGGTCATCATTCTGCCTTTCCCAATGGAGCTCAGCATGCAGGCTAAGAGCACATGCTTGGAGATTGCTTAAATCACAGGCCAAGACAGTTCAAGTAAACCACCGTCTGCATCAAATGAATCCCCCATACACCAGAAGTAACCACATGACAGACCACAGCAAGTCCAGGGAATCTGTACAGAGCTTCTTATGCATGTTCCAAACTGGGATGCATGGCAAAACCTGTATTTATGTGACAGACCAGGCCTCCTTTGGAGCTGGGAGGGTGAATCAAATAAATACTGTGCATAGCAAAGTGTAAGGGGTGCTCCAATACGTATCTGCCTGGGCAAAAGCACTCCAGTCCCAGATATGTATCTGCACAAACCTAAGTGCTTGTTTACCAAAGAGACAGGAACTGCTCCAAAGGCTTCTGCCACAGCTCCGTTGTGCTGTAAATGCAAAGAACCAACATTCTCAGATACTAACACTCCACCAGAGGCAACCAGACAGGCTTCCCCTGCTCCAACAAGTATCTGCTGGCAATTTCATCCTATTTCAGCTTGAAACTGAAAAACCTGGCCAGATTCGGCCCTGATTCAGACACATGGGTTCATGTTTCCACTTGTCACCATTGTTATCTGTAACAGGATCACCTCTGGGTATTTTCTGGGGGATGTGCATGAACACTGTGCAAACCCTGGAGTTTAAGGACAAGTTGCTTCTGTCTCGTCCTTCAGTCACTTCGTAAATGTTTAAATATTCACTTTCAAGCCCCCTGTTATTTCCAGGGCTAAAGGAATCTATGGAATAACTGTCATTAATGGCCACCAGGCACAGGAATACTGAAATGCTGTTGCTTGAAAAGACAAGGAACCATGAACCTCCTTCCCAAGAAACTAAAGACAAAACCTTGAAGAGCTCAGCCCCTTGCGGAGTCAGACCCAGAACTCTGTGACATTACAAACCCTGCACTGTGTTCCCTGAAGGCAACCAGATTAAAATAGCCACTGGGCTCTCCTGCTGCACAAGACTCCAGCTTTTAACCTCCACCTATTCAGCTGCCTACATGGATTTCAAAAGGCAGTTAGAGGGAGTCATCCATTTCTCTGTATTTATTGATACAGACTTTAGCAGAAACCCACAAACTGCAACGTTTTATTCCTGCCACATCCTTATGAAGGAAAATGTAAATGGTACTACTCAAAAAAAGAGAACTAATGCAGGAACTTTAATTATTATGAGTACCCAAAATCAAATGACTATAGAAATCAGGAGTCCCAAAAGCATCCATCACCTAATCCTAACCCCTGTACATCATCTTCTGTCCAAACATGCTTACTAACAGCAAAGCATTCACAGGAAACACTGACATTCTCTGTGGTGCATTACCTCTGGAGTCACAACAGCAGGGGAAAGAAAAGCCAGCACTTCCCTACATCTAATTTTCAGCCAGCCCAAAGAAAACGGGACTATTCTGATACCTGTCTGTGTCCCATTCCCATTCTTCTCTCCCCAAACCCATGCATTGCTTCCAATGAACATGCACCCCACTTGGGGGGTACCTTCTTCCACACCCCCACTGTGCTTTCCAGATCACCTGGCACGAGGCAAAAATAGATCCAGACACAGCATTAACCAACACAAAGAAAGAAACACCCTACACAAAGAAAGCAACTCACCTGGAAGGGGAGATCCATGGCACTGTTCCCAATCTGATTCACATTTGGCAGTGACCCACCGTAGTACTGGCCACGACTCTGTCCCAGTTGCAAGTATTGGGTTTTTTGCAGCTGTAACTAAAAGAAGAGAAGGAAAGTGTAAGGGGAACTCGTTTATTTTCCAGCTGGTTTAAGTGACTCAACTGACAGCATGTCCGTTACCACCGAGAGCGGACACCATCTATAAACAGCGTGAACTCAGCTTCAGCGAGTGAATGTCAACCTCCTCTGCAAAGCCCAGCTGGCAAACTGCCACCTCAGGTCTTGTGTGATAGTGTGAAGAGATGGGAGATAAAGCAACTTCATAGTCAGCAATCATATTTCATTTCCAACAAATAACCACCACGGGAAACCACATGGCTCTGTGTCACCTGCCCTCCTGAAAGCCAGGGTGTAAGAACCCGTCACAGCCTGATCATGGCTCTAACATCAAAGTGAACCAGCTGCTGATGTGTGTGAGACACAAATCAAAGTCATCTTCATTTAGGGTATTGAGGATACTGTTCAATGAAATGCTCAGCCTTCTAGCAATCCAGGTGATGGAGATGTTACAGCAAGTTGTAGCTTTCCACCATTAGGTAAGAGTTCTGACTTCTTGCACCAGGAAAAGCCCTGGAGGAAGGGCAGAGACAGGATTCCAGAGACAACCCAACCAACCAAAGAAATCAGCAAAGAATTCCTTACTAACCAGGTGTCCAGGAAACTAAAGGTGACACCCTGCAACGGTTCTGTTAGCACCAGGGATCACTCTTCAGTGCTGAATGAACCTCGCCGCTAGAATATTCCAGTAAGCAATCCCATAGTTGTACACGTTGCTGGTGTCCAAGGTATGCAAGAGAGAGCTGCTGTTTCTACTCCAATGCCAACTTATTTTCCTTGTCACTTCTTTCGGAAGGCTGCACTGCTCAACAGCTCTTCAGTGAGCTGCAGGGTTTGATTCACCTCCTGTCAGTGGCCTCTCTCTGGTTTTTAGTTTAGTAGCACCAATATTTAAAACCATTTCTCATTCAGGTCTGTTGTTCTCACTCGTCACATCTAGATTTAACACCATGCTGGCACCAAAGCCCTGTTTTACACTGATAAAGCAGAACTTGCAATCATCTGAACCCAAGGATGCATTTTTCAAGGACTCAAGAGACTACACTTACAGTAGCAAAGAAACGAGCTTACATAAGGCCCTCTCCTCCCACTGTGGAGGAGTACGTATTTTATAATGTATGTTGTTCCTCACTACATGTCAACTGGCTGTTTTTGCACTCTGAAAGGCAAGAACATTCCTAGATTGGTAGCAAAGAATTGTTTAAAGACTAAATGTTCAGATCTTGGACTAGCTGCAGGTTGGTTGCTAAGGTACTGTTGTGTGTACATCAACAAATCTGCTTTAGTTTCATTCAAGGCGACACGAAGCCTTTCCCTCGCAATGCCAGGATTTTGAAGAGCAAAGTTGGGAAAAGCACTAGAAAGAGCAGGATCCCCCCAAATGGGTGTCTATTTACATAGCTGGGGCTTCTTTTCTTCACACTTTCTTCAAGCAAAGGAAATGGCAGGATGGAAAGGAGTGGCCCTGCCTCTACAGCTTTACCACAAAGGCCCTGAGGTTGAGTGAAGATGTTTGTAGCGAAGGGAAGGAAGAGCTGGTGCTTTCCGTGTTGACAATGAGTCCTCTGATAAGCCACACACAGATGCTGAGCGGTGCTGACAGCGAAGATGCCACACTACACACTGATAGCACCGAGACAGCACAGAGAAAAGGGACTGGTTTGCCTAGATCATGCCAACACTTAGCATTAAGACAGCCCTTGAAGAGAGTAGGAGAAAATAAGATCACCCTGAATATTCTTTAAAAGCTATCCCTAGGAAAGCAACTCAAATACCTTTAATTCACAGATCTCCCCTGGAAGTCACCAATTTCCAAATATACACACAGCTGAGGGACTGAATGAAGCCAAAACTCACAACACAGCTCTTGGAGATGACACCTCTCAGGGGAAGGGGCACGCTCAGGAGCCTCAGCTATTCAGGCAAGATCCCACTCACAAAGTGGCTCACGGGGTTGTCTTAACAAAAGGGCAGATAAATCCCCTCAAGCCCAAAGACAGAAGCCATTCACAGTGTGCTGCATGAAACACTTCAGAGACTCCACCTGGAAAGCAGGAACCCCCCCTGCTTTGCTTGTGCCATCTTTTGACACGCAATCACAACCCAGCAGTAGATGGGACGAGGGAAAGGCTCCGTTCTGGTGTCACTGCGTGAGTCACAGCCCCTCGAACTCCGAGCTGCAGCTCCCCAAAAGCACAACATCAGAACTAGCTGTGCTTTTCGCCTGGCCCCTACATATGGTTTTGTTGTTAAAAAAAGGCTTGCTTGGGATTTGTGCCAAACCTTGAAGTAACTGCTTCAACAGGTGTTGGGTTCTTTTAAAGAACCTACTATAAGGCACCCAGGAGGGGGTGTTGCTTTATGGTTTTTTAATGCTTTGGCCTTCCCCAGCCTATACCTACCTCAAAGCATAAAGTAACAAGGGAGGTCACGACCATTTGTCTTTCCACTGCAGTTAAACCATGGGAATGAGGAAACACAAGACTGAGAACTACAGCACTTCTCAGAACCTGGCTCACTGAGTGCCTTCGCTCTATCATCAATTTTAGGAACATTACCTTCGATAAACACTTCTGGAGACCTGTGCCAAAAAGAACAAAACTGATTGCTTGTTACTGCTCTCATGTATCATGACACCAGCATGTAGATCTGTATTTGTTCCCCTCTTCAGCCTCTGAACAGTGAGTGGCCCCCAGACTACACAGTTTATTGGAGACCATCAACAACTGCCACTTGCAATCTGTGAAGATCAAGCACGAGCAGAGCAACCCAGCTTGGGAGCACCTCACATCTCCACTTCTGTAGCTGGTAAGAAAGCATTTGGAAACACTGTGATGTTAAGGCATTACTGTCATTCCAAGGAAAATCAGCTTATGTTTTTCAGTGCAGAGGATCAGCAAAAACAACCTGCAAATTCCACTGTCATGCTCTGAGATAACTCAGGAGTCTCGAGTCTTACTAAGGGGACCTATGCACAAAGAAAAGCAGCACTGAAAATGAGAAGAGGCATTGGTTGTGACTAAAATGAACACTTCTGCTTCTCCCTGTACCTTGTGAGGTGCATGAAGTACATTACACAATCTGGGGCTTGGGGTTGGGTTTGAAGAGGGGGATTGTGGGGTTTTATTTTAGAAGAAATAAAAAGGAAGAAGCCTTTTCTTAATAGAAAAATTCAGATTACTCTTCAAATGTTAACAAGTCTCATGACAACTCCAGCTTCATCTCCTGGGCTTACATTCAATTAGTGGCAATTTGCTTTCTATATGAATTCAGATAGTGAAGTATGATAATAAATTACTTAGTGCTCACCAGATACATTAATTTCTTGAACCACGAGAACTTAGTGACTCCACATTACAGCTTCTCCACTTATGTATTATGTGGCCAAGATAACAGAACCCTGACAGCTGAAAACACTGTTAAATATCCTAGGTCTTTCCTGAGAAAGCTTTTGATAAAGGATAAGCTTTTGCTTGTTAAACCATTTTGTTCCTGTTTAGCATTCTTGTTCAGATGCGTTTCCCAAATGACAGATCCTAACTGAATCGGTAATTTCCCCTCCACCAGCACGTCTCTTCTGCTGCTTAAAGAAAAACAAGATGATCTTAAGCTGAAGTCCAATGTAAACATTAAAAGTCATATAGTTCTGCACAAGCAGTTGTCTGGAATAGCTGGAAATGTTCCCCTATTGAAAGGCTGACACACCATCGGTTCACCAGGTTTGGAGTCACGACAAAACCAACAGATCTCTGCAAAGGTGCAGGAGCAACAATCTGCAAACAGCAGCAGCATCTTCACAGCAGCAGGAAGGGACTCATCACCTTCCCATGTAGCAATCAGGAATTTTGCAAGCAATTACATCCTAACCTCAGCTCACAGCGGAGTAACACGACAGCACCTTACTGTGGTGAACGGAACTGGGCACACAGCTGGTGAGAATCAACAATATCAGATCTAACACAGGCCATTTGTACAAACTACCTGTTCTATTTAGATTGGGTTAAAGTTTGCTGGATAAAGTTGTGTTTGTGGGGAGAGAGTCAAGTTATACAATTAAAAATAGTAATATTAAAGGAGAGAAACATGGCCCTAAAAGGACATCCAGCTTTCCTATGGACTTCCTAAGTGTCCAGAGCATGCAGATGGGACTCAAAGGAAGCATTTATTAAAATCCAACATTTCAACTTCTCTAAATTCTTCCCCCCAAAATCCAGGGCAATTACAAACTTCTGGACAGCGCTTCACTGCAACCGAACAGCAAACCTGACACCGGAATTCAGCCCCAATCCCCCAGAATCCTTTCTGTCAAAATGCCCTTTTTTAATACATAAGAATCTGATTCCCATAACTGTAATAAAAGGGTGGAGTGTCCGTTTGATAAAAACCCCTGAGAGGTCTGATGAATACAGGAAGTAAGATTTCACGATAACTGCTCTGTGGCGCTTGCAGTTTTCATCTCAAGCCTTCTTATGAATTGTAGCTTTGCACTTCAGAAAGCTCTTTCCTGCATGCTCAGGCCGATCAGCACAAAACCAAGTGTAGATTAAAATGAAAAATGCAGTATTAAAGCTTAATTGCAAATTAAATTCTGTTTAAAGGATTAACTGGAAGTTGTAGAGGCTGCATTAGTTAAATCCTGTTGGTTCAAATCAGTTCAAAGCCTCCCCTTGGTCACGTCTGAAGTTTCTCAGGAAGCCTTTCTCCTGAAGCACCCAGAGGCAGGACCCGCCAGAGGAAAGGACAGACAGTTGTTCAGAGGTCTTAAAATAAGTGGGATTCATCTGGCAACTTCAGGAACACATCACTGCTATTTCCTGATCTCACCTTAGGAATGAACTCACCGCACAGCTCCTGGTAGCAAGGTCTCTGAAAAGGCACTGATACCACTCCTTTTGGCCTCTAAAGCCAACGACAGTCAGTAGGGACCAAGTGCCCTTTTATCCTCAGAACTGCACTTCCTAAGTTACACAGGTAGGGCA